TTTGCATGTAAGATGGGTCTCCTGAATACAGCACACTGATGGGTCTTGACTCTTTATCCAAATTTTCCAGTCTATGTCTTTTAATTGGGGCATTTAGCCCATTTACATTTAAGGTTAATATTGTTATGTGTGAATCTGATCCTGTCATTATGATGCTAGCTGGTTATTCTGCCCGTTAGTTAATGCAGTTTTTTCATAATGTCAATGATCTTTACAATTTGGTATGTTTTTGCAGTGGCTGGTACTGGTTTTTCCTTTCCAGATTTAGTGCTTCCTTCAAGAGCTCTTGTAAGGTGGCCTTGTGGTGACAGAATCTCTCAGTATTTACTTGTCCGTAAAGGATTTTATTTCTCCATTGCTTATGAAGCTTAGTTTGGCCAGATATGAAATTCTGGGTTGAAAATTATTTTGCTTAAGAATGTTGAATATTGGCCCTCACTCTCTTCCGGCTTGTAGAGTTTCTGCAGTGAGATCCGCTGTTAGTCTGATGGGCCTGCCTTTGTGGGTAACTGGCTGCCCTTAACATTTTTTCCTTCATTTCAACCTTGGTGACTCTGACGATTATATGTGTTGGGGTTGCTCTTCTTGAGGAGTAGCTTTGTGGTGTCCTCTGTATTTCCTGAATTTGAATGTTGGCCTGTCTTGCCAGGCTGGGGAAGTTCTCCTAGATAAATATCCTAAAGAGTGTTTTCCAACTTGGTTCCATTCTCCCTATCACTTTCAGGTACACTAATCAAACATAGGTTTGGTTTTTTTCACATAGTCCCAAATTTCTTGGAGGCTTTGTTCATGCCTTTTTATTATTTTTTCTCTAATCTTGTCTTCATGCTTTATTTCATTAAGTTGATCTTCAATCTCTGATATCCTTTCTTCTGCTTGATTGATTTGGCTATTGATAGTTGTGTATGCTTCACAAAGTTCTTGTGCTGTGTTTTTCAGCTCCATCAGGTCATTTATGTTCGTCTCCAAACTGGTTATTCTAGTTAGCAATTCCTCTAACCTTTTTTTGAGGTTCTTAGCTTCATTGCATTGGGTTAGAACATGCTTCTTTAGCTCGGAGGAGTTTGTTATTACCCACCTTCTAAAGCCTACTTCTGTCATTTCATCAAACTCATTATCTGTCCAGTTTTGTTGTCTTGCTGGTGAGGAGTTTTGATCCTTTGGATTTTTCAGCCTTTTTGCACTGGTTTTCCTCATCTTCATGGATTTATCTATCTTCGGTCTTTGATGTTGGTGACCTTTGGATGTGGTTTTTGTGTGGGCATCCTTTTTGTTGATGTCGATGCTATTCCTTTCTTTTTGTTAGTTTTCCTTCTAACAGTCAGGCCCCTATGCTGCAGGTCTGCTGGAGTTTGCTGGAGGTTTGTTCTTTGCCTGGGTATCACCAGCGGAGGCTGCAGAACAGCAAAGATTACTGCTTGTTCCTTTCTCTGGAAGCTTTGTCCCAGAGGGGCATCTGCCAGATGCCAGCCAGAGCTGTCCTGCTGGGAGGTATCTCCCATTCAGGAGTCATGGGAGTCAGGGACCCACTTGAGGAGGCAGTCTGTCCCATAGCAGAGCTCAAGCTCTGTGCTGTAAGATCTGCTGCTCTCTTCAGAGCTGGCAGGCAGGAACATATAAGTCTGCTGAAGCTGTGCCCACTGCCACCCCTTCCCCTAGGTGCTCTGTCCCAGGGAGATGGGAGTTTTATCTATAAGCTCCTGACTGGGGGTGCTGCCTTTCTTTCAGAGATGCCCTGCCCTGAGAGACAGTCTGGCTACAGCGGCTTTGCTGAGCTGCAGTGGGCTCCACCCAGTTCAAACTTGCTGGTGGCGTTGTTTACACTGTGAGGGAAAAACCCGCTTACTCAAGCCTCAGTAATGGTGAATGCCCCTCCCCCCCACCAAGCTTGAGCATTCTGGGTCAACTTCAGACTGCTGTGCTAGCAGGGAGAATTTCAAGCCAGTGGATCTTAGCTTGCTGGGCTCCATGGGGGTGGGATCTGCTGAGCTAGACCATTTGACTCCCTGGCTTCAGCTCCCTTTCCAGGGGAGTGAATGGTTCTGTCTTGCTGGTGTTCCAGGTACCAATGGGGTATGAAAAAAACTCCTACAGCTAGCTTGGTATCTACCCAAACAACCGCCCAGTTTGTGCTTGAAACCCAGGGCCCTGGTGGTGTAGGCACCCGAGAGAATCTCCTGGTCTGCGGGTTGCAAAGACCATGGGAAAAGCATAGTATCTGGGTGAAAATGCCCCATTCTTCACAGCACAGTTCCTCATGGCTTCCCTTGGCTAGAGGTGGGAGTTCCCCAAACCCTTGTACTTCCCAGGTGAGGGGACGCCCCACCCTGCCTCAGCTCGCCCTCCATGGGCTGTACCAACTGTCTAACCAGTCCCAGTGAGATAAGCTGTGTCCCTGAGTTGGAAATGCAGAAATCACCCACCTTCTGCATTGATCTCACTGGGAGCTGCAGACTGGAGCTATTCCTGGGGCTTTTACTTTTTTAATGTTCATTTGTTTGGCATGGGAGAGGGCACTTCTATGAGGACATTTGGAATTTTCAGAACTATTTTGCTCATAATCAAGGGTTGCATGAGCATTAGGTTTCAAATCTCTTCAGTAGACTAGCCATGCAAAATACCAGTATCACCATGTAGTAGTATTTAGCGGCCTGTCCTTGATGTGGAGTGTATCTTCACATCTCCTCTATACATCTATGAGAAGTCTTTTGTGAGACTTATTCCCAGGGAAAGAGCCAGTCAGGGGCCTGGCTGCTGCTCTGTGGCTGGCCCAACAGAGATATGATGTCCCAGTGTCTCTGGCGGCTTCTTGCAGAATCCTGTCCCTGAGGTTAGGTCCCTTCTTCACAAGGTGACACTTTCAGGGTTGGGTCTGCCTGAGAGCTCCAAAACGTGATTTCTGCTGAAAAACCTGTGTCTATCATTCAGGGCATCCTCTATCATCTCATGGGATTTTATTTTTCAAAGTGCTTTTAAAGCAATGGCATATAACATAAGGTGTGCCAGTGTATTGCATCAAGCCTCTATTAGCCTAAAAGCCTTTAGGAAAATAATCATAAAAAACACCCAGAAGAAAGTCCTATTGTGCTTTTTACTATCTGGCAGAGAACAGGGTCCTGTGCCCTCCTCAATGACCATCCCTTAGACCAGATATTAAGCAGAATAATTCTCTTTGACAAACAACAGCCTTCTGTAATCCTTGAGAGTGTTCAGGGAACCCTGACAGAGATAAGAACTAGATGCCGCCGGGCGCAGTGGCTCAAGCCTGTAATCCCAGCACTTTGGGAGGCTGAGGCGGGTGGATCACGAGGTCAAGAGATCGAGACCATCCTGGTCAACATGGTGAAACTCCGTCTCTACTAAAAAAAAAAAAAAAAAAAATTAGCTGGGCATGGTGGCACGTGCCTGTAATCCCAGCTACTCAGGAGGCTGAGGCAGGAGAATTGCCTGAACCCAGGAGGCGAGGTTGCGGTGAGCCGAGATTGCACCATTGCACTCCAGCCTGGGTAACAAGAGCGAAACTCTGTCTAAAAAAAAAAAAAAGAGAACTAGTTGCCAAGAATAAGAAAAGATGATGTGGCAAATCCTTGCCTTTACTTTGATCTATGGCAGAAAACTTTGGTTTTTAAAAAAAATCCGATTATTCCTCCACCTCCTTTTCTTTGTCCTTTTTATTTCTATGGTATGCTGGCTTCTAGTTGTTATACACATTAACTGACAACCTCATCATTCACCAACTCTATCCCTATGTCTACAGTTTGTGCATGCCTCTCTTCTCGAGCACAGGAGATCCTTGGTCTGATAACATAGTCAGTCTTTCCAAAGACGTGGCTCTAAAGGAAATAAGCCACACACGAAGCCAACAGGCTTAGACAGGATTTCTATTTCCACATGCTTGGTTCAACTCTGGAAGTGACTTGGGCTATTACCCTACCACATGAAGAGCTCTAAGCATTCAGGTAATTATGATTTTTTCCCTCAGAAGGCCACAAATGACTATAATCAGTGGCATTGGCAATAAGAGAGAAAATACAGAAACTGTTCATTCCTGCTACAGGAGAATGGGCAGACAGAACTGCAATTTAGATTCTAGAGCCCCTGGGAAGTCAGTTAATTAGTAACCCAGCACAGAACCATGTTTGAGGAGAGTGGCGAGGCCAACAGTGTTCCAGAAGATGTGCTGCCTTCCTTCTCCCAAGTTTGATGCTGCTTGTTTTGTTATGCTGCATGCCCTTGAGTTTCTATCCAACACTGGAGCCTTTTACCCAGGTCCATCCACACCTTGTAGCCCAGGTCCCCTGTGCAAATTGTATATAGATTTAGACACCTCTTGTGTACCACACTCAACCCCCAATCCTCCCAGCCCACCACTTACTCCATTCACTGTTGCAGTGACCAGTTCTCATGGGCTCTGGCAACCCTCACTTTGGCCCTGCAATGTATCCTCTCTTGCTTTCTACCCACAGGACAGAACTTATTTGTGACTCATGCATGTACAGCCTGGAAATATGGGGAGCTGACACCTGTGGGCTGCTTTTGACAAATGGGTGCCAACAGAGAAATGCTTCCCCCTTTTATCCATGGTACAGATGGTATTGAGATGCATTTCATAAGCTTCTTCTGAAGTCCCTGCTGGATGGAGCACCCCTGCCCTTGTTGCTAGCCAGCCTGAAAATGCATCCTTGTATTCAGCCTCCCTCTTCCCTGTTCTCCTCCTCCTGTCTTTTATTCCTACTCCCTGGAATCTTGTTCCCAAAAGCATAAACTGCTTTACTGCACAGAAGCACTAGTCTCAGGCTCTGCTTTCAAGGGAATCCATGCTACAACATTTTTGCAAGAAGGCTGCTCAGTCCATAGTCAGTTAATACAGTAAAGAATTCTTGTGCACAAGAATCAAATCTTAGCCATTGCTAGAATTAGCCCAAGCTGATACAGAGAAAAGACAGGTGACTGTGGCACAGGCTCACTAAATTCTGGAAATAAAGATTCTAGGCAGTTGCTGTTATTTAAAAAATCATTTTACTTATTAAAAATTTATTTCCCAAGGCACTTTAGTAGCTTTCACAAAAACATGTTTGTTCTTTTTTAACCAGGTAAAGCATATGCTTTAGGAGTACCATGGTAACATGATCAGCTAAGAGAAGACAATTACACTGAACACAAAATATCTCCCAATAATGTTACAGGACTAAAGTGAGCTACTCTGAAAGACTGAACACAATTTTAATTTCTTTTTTTTTGTGGGGCGGGGTTGGGGTTTCGTTCTTGTTACCCAGGCTGGGCTGCAATGGCGTGATCTCCACTCACTGTAACCTCCACCTCCTGGGTTCAGGCAATTCTCCTGCCTTAGCCTCCTGGGTAGCTGGGATTACAGGCACGCGCCACCATGCCCAGCTAATTTTTTGTATTTTTTGTAGAGATGGGGTTTCACTATGTTAACCAGGATGGTCTCGATCTTTTGACCTTGTGATCCACCCGCCTCAGCCTCCCGAAGTGCTGGGATTACAGGCGCCACCTTAATTTCTTTTTTGTAATTTCTTCCCATGATTAAGTATCAAAAAAGGAACACACACAATGACACTGTTTTTGGCACTTAGAGAAGTGCTAGAGGCTAGGGCTGGTAAGGCCTTGCACCAGTGGCAGCTACAGACAATTACCAGAGTGATTCTGGGTTTAAAAATAACAAAAGACACTCCAGGCACAGAGACTCACGCCTGTAATCCCAACACTTTGAGAGGCTGAGGCAGGTGGATCTGAAGATTAGATTAGAGACCAGCCTGGCCCATGTAGTGAAACCCCATCTCTACTAAAAATACAAAAAAAAAAAAAGCTGGGCATGGTTGTGGGTGCTTATAGTTTCAGCTACTTGGGAGGCTGAGGCAGGAAAATCGCTTGAACCCAGGAAGTGAAGGTTGCAGTGAGCCGGCTCCTACCGAGGCCAAGATCGAGCCTCTGCACTCCAGTCTGGGCAACAGAGTGAGACTCCATCTCAAAACAAAACAAAAACACAAATCAGAAGGCTAAGGAACTAGCCTTTCCCAAGTGTATTCTGAAGGGCAAATAAGGAGAAAAGCATATAACAACAAACAAACAAAACAAAACCCACATTACAGATTTGAGAGATAAGACAAGGTTGCTTGTCTCTCTCACTGATAAACTTCCTTTAAACCAAACATAAGACTCTATAGTAGCAAGGTTTCCACAGGAGTGGAAAACAAGAATAGTAGATTCAATGGTGTATTTCTTATGGGCCTAGACAAGCCCAGTGCTTTGATCAGATGTAAACAAGTCTACTCAGTCATCATGCTGAGTGTTCTAAGAGCTCACACATAGGTGCACCTGCCAGTGATCCGCATCTGCTCATTCTGCTCCATCTTCATTACCTTTCGCATTCCCTAGCCTTGCGCTCTCCTGCCCTGGGGAAGCAATGATCCAGTTAATGTCCTCTGTAACTGAGAAAAGATAAGAAATCAAACTCCTAGTGCAATTATTTACTTTCCCTCTAAAGTTCACCATTAGAGGGGAGTAGGGAAGGGATGGGGGACTTAGACCTCTAGCCTTATTCGGGGCCTTTTCAGGTAGTCTAAAATTAAAATATAAATTTAGCGTATGCTTCTCATATTCCTCCAGATCTCACTAGTGCTAGTGAATAATTAACTTCTTATAAAGTGGAGTCCATCACTGTAATAATTAGGACTTATATGAAGTTATCTGTAGGTAGCCACAGTGTCCCTAGAGGAAGGCGGTGCTCTAGGACCATACGTAGCCCTTGAGTGCGGTGACCATACGTAGCCCATGAGCAAGTCAGACACAGGTCAAGAGGATAACAGTAAAAGGCCTTTGTCACTGAAGGTCTCAGAGTCTGCATAAGCTGGCCATTTCTGGCAAGACGAGTTTTCCTCTTCAGTTTCTCCCTTACTGGAAGGTGTGTTAGAGGGCTGTGCTTTTAAGAATTGTGGGCCTTTCTTCACCATCTTTTAACATCCTTGTGTGACTTGGAGTTTGTCTGTGTTTCATTCTATAAAAACAAGCAAAAAAAGTAGGTAAAATTTTGTTTTTAATTTTAAAAAGATGCCTCCCAGTCTCCAAACAAATTGAGGATATCTTCCCTGGGAAAGAGAATCATGAAGCAGATTCTGAAAGGTTTCTTCCAGCCTCTGCACTATACAGCACGGCTACTGCCATGGAGATGTGTATAGTGACATGTCCACACAGGAACAGACCAGAGAGGATAGGCTATAAGTAATCACCTTGCCATTTACAACCCTTTGATGGCTAAACTAGTCCATGGTGTCTGTGAGAGGGAATTTGTGAGTGACTCTCATGTGAGGGGTTCCTGAGACCTGGCCAGGCCTAGACCCAGAGCATTAGCACTGAGGGAGGAGGTCTTCTTACCCTTTGACCCTTAGCATCTGGTCAATGGTGTCTGGGAGTGGGGTACCGAAGCTCTCTGGGAGAAACAAAGTGAGGATGGCTGTCAGGATGGTCAGACTTCCCATGAGAATGTAGGGCAGGAAGCGGTCGTAGACACCTATGGCAAAGCAGACAGCGCAGGCCCAGGGCTTGTTAGACTTGGTCTCTCTCTACCCTTTTATGCTCTCAGGACTCTGTAAGGGGATCACCTTCCTTCTTGGTCTCACATCTCCCACAGTCTGAGCTGCCAGATTAGAATCTGGCACCTAGACAGGTTTCAGAACCCAGAGCTGGCACAGGCATGCCCAGAGCCCAGTGGTGTTCCACCATACAAGGAAGGAGTAGAGAGGGGTGGCTGCAGGAGAAAAGTTGGGCTATGCTAATTATTCTTATTTCCCAAGGTTGGGTTTCTAAGGAACTGGAGGTACTTGTCCAGGGATGGAAATAACTCCTCCGCCTCTGCAGATGTGTCCCAGCCCATGTGCTCTGCCTTCAGGCTAGGCAGGGTACTCTTGCTTTGAGATCTACACAGCATGTTCACAAAGCACTCTGGGTACTTTCAGGGTGTGCCACCTCTCTAAAGAGGTACTGGCTAAGGATGTGCAGGGAAACTGCAGGTGCTGTGAGGACATACTTTGAGAAGGGAAAACTGGAGCCCTGCTACATAAAATGGCATGGGGTGGATCTTCCCACATGAAATCACTCTATAGTGCTCCAGGTTATGATAATTTTCAGTTCATCAGACCTCTTACATGGACATCTTTTCCTTCATGTTACTTTTAAACTCTGATTCCAAGAAATTTCTCCAACTAAGTATACCAGCTCGCTAAACCACTTTGTAGGTTCTTAGGATAAAGGAATTGTAGTCTCCGATGGAAGGCCTGGGATGGCTAAAACAGAAACAAACCCTCTCATTTTCTCATCAATTTCTAGGTAGTCTATAGGTTGTTTTCCATTTGAAAGTGAGGGCCAGCACTGGGATAAGAACCCTCCCCGGCTAAAGATCCAGTACTGGATGGAGCCCATGTGCTGTATGAGCTTGTTTTCCTGTTAACAAGCTACCGCCAGCTTAGATTTAAGCCAATTAGTACTTCCGTCCCATTGCTCTAGTGTGCCCTAGGCCCATGGGACTTACCTAGGTAAACAAAGTAGGGAGACAGGATGCTGCCCAGGCGGGATGCTGTGGAGCTAACTCCCACACCCATGTTTCTCACCACTGTGGGATACAGCTCAGCTGTGTACACGTAGACCATGGAAAAGGCAGCTGTGATTCCAAACTTGCCTACCATCACCAGGGCTGTAGTCAAATAATACAAGTCTGGAGAGGCAAAGGAAAGAGGGTAAGAGTTGGCACCAACCTATAGGATGCAGCTATTGAGAGCAAAACAAACATACTTTCCTCCTGAAGTTTTGGGGGAGTCATTTTATATCACTTCCTATTGTGGGGAAAGGGGCTATAGCCAAGAATTCCCTCCAAGTTGATTGCTGAAAGGAGGCTGGGGACCTGCAGCTGTGTGAGGACATGCGCTTTCCTCAGCCTGGAGACCACCAGAGTTAGCTCCTCAGTAGCCCAATCGACCTGCTTCCCAGTCCAGAAGTCATTAAAGACATGTCTGTCAGGGGTCAGCTGTTACCCCAGAACCTCACACTGCAGATGCTGTGGAATTAACTCATGATGTTTAGATGAATGGAAAATTCAGTTCTAACTCATTTCATGCTCTCCTCCCACCCAGACCTCAAAAAACTCATAGGCCATCCGGACCTTCAGTTGATCTTCTAATCTCTCTGTGCTGTGCTGATAGGAGAGCTATGTGTGACCCGAAGGTCACTCTGTGCTCAGCTGTAAGCCTTTACGTGGGTTCTGGGCTCCTCCTGCCACATCCCATGGGGAGCTGTTCCCGTGCAATGTTCCCAGCCTGGTGGGCCCAAAAGCAACCACCAGAGACTCCCAAATTACAGGTGCACTGAAGACTCTGGGCACAGTAATGGAGAGGGAGAGATGAGGGCCCATGAGCTGTTCTATCAATTACTGGAAAGGGCTACCTCCCACCTATTTGTGGGATACCAAGATAGTTTCAGAAATAAAATCCTGCTAAGGGCCTGTGAGGCCTCTCAGTGGCCTGGCCCCTCCCCTTCTGCCTCCTTCTCCTCACACAGGCCAGGCTCATCCCCTGCTCAGGGTTATTGCCTTTGCCATTTCTTCTTCCTAAAATGTCCTCCTAGACTTTTTCAGGGCTTTCTGATAACTTTATGCACATTTCTGCTGCACTGCCCCCTGTTCAGGGACACTATCTGTGACTATGTAAACTAACTCGTCATTATTCTTCATTTGTATTCCTAGAAGGTAACACAGTCTGAACTATATTAAACATTTTATTTACTTGTTGGTTGTCTGTCTTATCTAACTAGGATAAACGCCCCATGAGGGCCTAGGGTTCTGCTTGGCTGATTTTCTTGTGTATCGTTATCACCGAGCACAGTACCCAGCCCATGGTAGAATGCCTTAGCTATTTATTGGATAAATAAAGAAGACAGGGCCAGGAAAAAAAGTAATGGAATAGCTCTTTCTTCCCCCTTCTTCTGGAGTGAAAAACAATACAAGCACATTAACTTGGGTATGGAATAAAATTAACCAACAGCCCCAATGGGCTGCTTTTTCTCACTCCCTCAAAGCCTAGGCCATAAGTGTTCTGACCTCAGAAGGTACTTTCTATTGATTTTTAAGCCAAGAATGTATATATGTAGGGGAGCTGTGATGGGCTTGATTTTATTCTCTTTATTAATTGAGGAAGACAGCCTGGTAGAGAGTAAGAGACTCAATGAAGACCCCAAACCATAGATGCACCTGGTCCCTACCTGGGGGCACCAGCTGCACGAAGAGAAGGACACTGCCACCCAGGAAGAGGGCAGTGGCCATGGAATAGCGCCGGGGCAAATACCGCAGCAGCAGCCAGGCCAACACGTATGCTGGGACTTCAACCGTTGCTGAAAGGAAGCAGTTCACATAGATGTCCCCATGCAAGTTAGGAGTATCAAGGGAAAGCCCGAAATAGCCCACTGATATGGTCATCCTGAAACAGAGTGCAGAAGAAAGCTGGAAAAGCAGTACCACATCTCTTCCAACCTGTACAACTTTTACAATGTAAGTATTTCAGTAAATTCCAAACCATCTTTAAGCAAAGACGAGTAAGGCAGCAGTCACTGTCACCCTGCATCTTACTTCATAGAACAAAAGATAACTTCCCCCAGTCCAAGTGGTACAGTGTAAACTCTGTGCCAGAGTACTCTCAGAGCCTTCCATACAGACAGTGTCCCAGCACAAAAGCTTGTATAATTCAGATAGATTAACTTCATTGAAAAGAAATAGTCCAATCTGTCTTTCAGCTTTAAAAATCCTAAGCGGAACCTCCTCAAATCCAGCAACTGCAGAAGGAGCTAGAGAATGAGTCAGGAGGCAGACATCAAGTGAGATGTGACAGGATTGGGTGGATAAGATAAAAAAAAAAAAAAGGACAACACATTAGATCAAACACTTGGAGAGAGACCCCACACACTACCTGTGGTGACCAGTCAGGAAGAGGCTGGTCAGAGGCAGCTGACACCAGCCCCACGGTGCTTGCAGAGCAGAGAGGTAGCTCCCAGTGGAGGGGCCACATTGCCTCTTATCTGCATCCCTGCTGTGCCCTGGCCTGGGCAGTCCCAGTAGGCATTCTCTCTGTTGATGACCCACACTCTTTGGCAAACCAGACCTTTATGGATTAGACTGTTTTTGACTCATCTGCAGGTGGAACACACAGCTGGTACAATAAAAAGAGTATGTGCATGAGTCCCTGGGAAATCCAGAGCAGGGAGGAGAGCCTGGGTGAACACAAAGTGGGTGACTCATCACAGGCTGGCATGTCTGTGGTGCAGGCCAAATGCTGCTCCCATCTTGAGGCCAACTCAGGGAATGGTGAACTGCCCAGAGGGATCTGGGCCATTCCTTGGAAGTGGGTGATTCATAGCACTTCCTCAGTAGGCACAATGGCCAACTGCCTCAAAGCTGGATGAGACTAGTAATAAGGACTCTGAGATGAAGTCTGCCCTCCTCGCCTATCTTCTCACAGCTCAGCCAGCAGGCTCCAGAAGTCACCTAGAATCCCAGGGTTCGGCTGCTAAGCAAAAGCTAGCCAGGCACACTTGGACATGTTCCCTCTCCCTGGTAATTCACAAATAACTTTCTGACACACTTCATGAAATGCCTCGTTAGTGGAAGCCCGGTGAGGACATCTAGGCCATGGCACTGACTCCAGGACTGTGGACATCCCAGGAGAAGCACATCCCACTTCCACATTTCCAGAAAGTAATTAGCAGCCTCTGTAGCCTACAGGACATGGTGTCTTCACTCAGATCCTTTTTTTTTTTTTTTCCTAGATTACTCAGCAGGATCAGATCCTTCTTAAAAGCCCTACCTGGCCTCCTCAGCCACTGTCTGTGACTGCGTAGGAGACAGGAACTAAATGACCCAAAGGGGGCAAGAATTCATCTTAAGATCCGGAGAGATTCCCCACCAGAGTTCATATTTCCCAAAAGAGCCTCCACAATTGTTTTCATTCTCCTTTTCTGAGGTTCCATCCCATTAAGCATTGTGACATGCCCATTTCTTCAGCAAACACAAGACATATCCTTTTCACTGTCTGATGACACAGGCTTTAGGTTTTCGTCCGAGGCATGTCTGTAAACAAGAGGCCCAATGGCCACCTCAAGAAGCTTTGTCTGGAAGCCTCAGGCAGGTCTCTTTTACATACCACAGAATTATGGACATGATGGTGACCATCCGGATATTCCGGGTTCGAAGCAGATCCAGAATGCTGTGGGACTGCTGCTTCTTGGAACTTAGGTCTTGTAACTGCAGGAACAACATGATAAGGGTATGGAAAGAAGAGATGGTCAGAGACTTAGAGCACACAATAACATACTTGAATCCCTGGCATCTTAGCTATCTGCATCTCAGAGTCAGGGAGTGTTGTGTTTCTTTCTTAAAAGGAACTATAAGTATACTGACTATGTTTTAGACTGTGAAAACTTCCCCAGGCCTTGTCAGTAACAAATCAGAGTGAATTAAAATGAGGAAAAGTAGATGACCAGTCCCTCAAGGGTGCAGGAAGACAGGAGCCCAGGCTGACAGCTTCCTCACTGCACCCCCACATCCTCCTGTTGTGGCCACTTTCCATGGAGACCTCTAAGTATTCCTCCCCAAGGCTGGCTCCCTGCCCTCTGGGTCAGAGAGAGAACCTGGCTATGTGGTTTATTGGTCTGATATCTTTTAAAAGTTAATGTGTTGAGTCCTTATACCATGTAGTTACTGGTCTGCTTCCAGGGAAAAAGAATTCAAATAGAAAAACAGGAAAATTGAACTGAGCTTCACCCAGAGTGACTTCCTATGAAATTCAGCACAGCCAAGGCCATTAATAAACTGCACGTCTAAACACACTGATGTTGCTTTCTTAAGCAAACCCAGGTTTGGAGCTTGTTTTTCCAGAGTTAGAAGTTCAATAAAAGGTCAACTTTGGCCTGAAAGGATCCCCTGAAATAGCCTCATTTCCTCAAAGATGCGAGTGGGGCTTATGCGTTCACCCAGATTGACCCCTCACTTATAAGCCTCCAAAGCCACTTAAAAGCCCTCTGCCACACTCCTCCCTGACCTTTGTGCATGGAACCCCTTTCTGGTGCATGCTGACAGTGGCTTCTGGGCCACCACTCACTGTGAAGTCCTCAGGGCTGACAGTGGCCATTGGCCTCCACTGACTATAGTAACTGTTCCCTCTTTCCCAAGCCCAACATGCCTGCCTCTCACACTTCAGCATGACTGCTTGTGGCTGTTTCCACAGCCAAGCCCTTGTCTTCCAGTCAGACCACAGACGCATTCCAGAACCACACCAGGCAGCATTTACAGCTTCTAACCTTTCCTCATAGTCACGAGACCAAGGAAAACTGCCTGCTGCAGAGAGGGTAGGAGAGGGAGCGGGAAGGAAAAGCAAGAACCAGGAACCAGGCAGAGCCAAGAAATGACTCATGGTGTGTGAGAACAGGGTTGTAGGGAGGGTGGGGTAGGGGTAAGAGGTGGACATCAAAAAGGACCTGACTCCAAGATGATATGCAACAATTAACTATTGGAGGGCAGAAAGAGACTAAACTCTTTTTTTTTTCTTTTTTAATGAAAAATTGCCAATACTCAAGAGATGAAACACTTCGAACCCCAAATCTATTTCTGCTTTATATTTTACATTCAGAGTTATCTTTGTAAGATGACAAGGCACCTTAGGCAATAAAAAACAATGATTTCCCCTTTATGAAAGGCCTGTTACTCAAAAAGAATGTTCATTTTTAAAAAGTAATAGTTAAAATATATGATTGCCTAGAAAGGAAGTAAAGAATGAAAATCTGAAATCCATGGGAAAGGTGAAGAATGAGGCAACTGTAACCTATTCCTCAGCTTCTGTGTATTAACAGGACACGCCTGGGGGGCAGCTGGGGCTTGGGCAGAGAGAGGGCTGGGTGCTGCTGCCCCCGAATCATGGTCACTCTGTCCTTCCCACCCACACCTACATGGTGCTTACCTCACTCGGGTCAAAGATGGTGGAGGGGACAGCAATCCCATTGGCTTTGGCAGCCTTGCGGATGATCACCTCTGCCTCTTCAAATCGTCCCTGAGAGATGAGCCATCGGGGGGACTCAGGAATGAACCTGGCAGTACAAGATGTGATCTCAGTGAGGCCTCCCTGTCAACAGCGGACCCACAGACCAGGCAGAGCACAGCGGAGGTGGGAATGAGATTGCAGAACCAGAGCTTGTGGAATGTTTGGTGTTCACAAGCCAGAAGCATAGAGCTGGTCCACAGGCAGCAATAAACTGGGGTGAGTGAGATTTTGTGTACATCACACTGCACAAAAACGGGAGAGCCTTACACCTCGACGGGATACCTATGCTGGCTGGACACCTCCATTTCTGAGGAGCAGTGGTGCCACCTGCTGGGCTAAGGATATGGTTGCAAGATGGGTTCCGGAAGCCTGGCTTCTGCGCATATCTCAGGCCTGCCCAGGCCCTGCTACCCTGTCCTTCCTGTCCCCAGCACCAACAGAAGCTTCTGCACTTGCCTCTTAGCGTCTCTTCTCTCCTAACCCTACCCCTGGTTTATGCAGCAGATTTATCAGATACTCTATCTAAAACAGCATGTTTGGCCAGGTGCAGTGGTTCACTCCTTTAATCCCAGCACTTTAGGAGGCAGGATCATTTGAGGCTAGGAGTTCCAGACCAGGCTGGCCAACATGGTGAAACCCTGTCTCTACAAAAAAAAAATTACCCAGGTGTGGTGGCAGGCACCTGTAGTCTCAGCTACTCAAGAGGCTGAGACACGAGAACTGCTTGAACTAAAGAGGCAGAGGTTGTAGTAAGTGGAAATCACGCCACTGCACCCCAGCCTGAGCAACAGAGACTGTCTAAAAAAAAAAAAATAAAGAAAAGAAAAAGAAAAAAATAGCATGTTTATTAAGGCACTTGAGTGCTCTATGGATATTGTTTTCTATCTTGCTGGGACCATGTAGCTGCCCACACCCTCTGCCATCCCATGAGAAAGCCCATGATGTGCGGCTTGCTCCCCCACTATGCCCTGAAATGCTCTCTGCTCCACGTGGGCTGGTGATCTCACCTTCTCCACCTGCAAGGGGTGATTCACATCTTAGCTCCTCTGCTGTGTTCCCCTCTTGGTCTGGAATGGCCTCTTCTCTGCCTGTTCAATTCCTCTCCCTTGGAGGTACAGAAAGAGCCTGGCTTCCTCCATGTGGCCACCCTGAGGACCCTTGGTTTTGGTGCCAGTGCCTGTGGCCTGAGGCTTCAGCAGCACACAGCCAGAACTAGGGCCTACACCGTCCTGCCCTGAGGCTTGGGAACTTCCTGCAGGTCTTCTCACAGTTACTGCTTCTTCTCCCTGCACATAGGGCAACCCAGCACAGGGCTGAGAGCAAGTCTGTTGTTGTCATGGGATTCTGTTTTGTTTTGGCTCTTTTGAGTGTGGGGAAAACATTTTGAAATAACTTGTAAATAATCTATGCTTCCTGTCTCTGGGAGACCAAATAGGGATTCATGGGTTGCTGCTGCCCTCTAGTGAAGGCCAGACAGAAGTCATCCTGCTGGTGGACACAAAGGGCACAGGGTCACACTCACCACCAGAGTGCCACACACAGCACCCCTGGCACCGTCAGCGCCAGCAGCAGCATCCGCCAGTCTCGGATGAAGTAAGCAAACAGTGGCAGCACCATGTAGCCAAATGCATAAAATATGCACACTCCTAACGTAGAGAATATTATACGAACTGACTTGCCAAGAATTTCTGTCCCTGTTCAAAATAAGGGAGGTCGAGTTAGCAGTTTAATTTGGTTTACTTCTGTATTAATCTTTTATGGTACCACTGTGAATACACAGACAAGCAAACAGCCAGAACTGTCTCCAAGTTTGTGGCGCTAGGGAGGCGATGGCGTTCTGAACCCCTCCTGTCTGACCATCTCCTGGGGCTGCATCCCTGTGGCCTCTCAGGCCCCCTAGCAACAGTTCCCTCATGAAAATTTCATGATGTTTTGAAGCCACATGCTAAAGATGTCAAGGTAGGCCCCCTTTAATCCTCACACGAGGAAGAATTCATTAAAGATGAAGTCATTACTAAGTCAGCACATGCTGACTTAAGATTCAATACTCTGTTAAGAGTGTGAAAAGAAAAAACAATCCATTCAACAATACAACCCAAGGAACTTAAAGGCCTTATCAACTAGAGTCAGGTTCCTCCAAACACAGGCCAGCCTGGCAGCTTCTCAGTGACAACAGGCTGGCAAATCTGAGACAAAGCTCTGCAGAGTGCACTCTGAATTAAAACCCTGAAGGTGACGAAACCCCATTCGTATCAATTTACTCTCTGTAGATATCACCAGCCACAGTGCTCTGCAGGCAAGGGCTTCTCTACCTTGGCGAGCCTGCCAGTCATAACCCCTCCTCCTCCTACCATGCCGCTCGCTTTCCCAGGCTGCCTCAGCTCTGGGCAGTGGCAGGCCCTTTTTATAAATGGATGATCTCTGGTGAGTCCTAGTAAATTGGCCATCAAGTACTAAGACCAAGGAGCCACAGCCCAGAGGCCAGAAAAGAACAGAAAATCAGAAAGGTTATTGTGCTGCTTGGGACACCAGGCTGGTCACTTGTATGGCTCAATTTCCCTGCCTGTTAGTAGGGTTCACCAGGAAGCTCTGGCTGGTTCTTTTAGAAACCCAGTCCACTTGAGGGACATCATAGCTATCTCCAGAAAGGTGGGTGGTGTGGGATGATGGTGAAATACAGGATCAAGTACTCAACTCCAACCTGATGGCCATACCCAGGACAAATGCTGCCACGTAGTTGGAGATCTGGCCCATGCCTACAAAGACAAACAGCACGACAAACATCTCAAAGTTCTTCGAGAAGAGCTGCAGGAAGCTGAAGCCTGTCTGCATGCCCATGGTCACAAACAGCACATTCTTCCGGCCAAACCTGGGAAGAAAAGGAGAGTGACAGAGAATCAGCTGGAAAGGGGCAGCAGGAATGGGCTCCACCAAGTGAGGCTTTCCCAAGATCCATCCAGGGAGCAGGTGTGGACAGTGTTGCCAGGATACTGGCTGCCAGGGACAGTCTCAGTCTCACAGTGCCCATGCTATTCCTCCCCCTCCCCACTCCCCAGGACAAATGTACAGCCAGGGTACCAGGGTTGCCCAAAAAGCAGTTATGATAATGATTACAAGAGACTGAAACAACCAATTATTTAATCCATACATTCATAATAATTTTTTTTAAAAAAAGAATCTGCCAACTTTGGAGAATGACAGAGAAACAATTCATTATAAATAAAAACTGGCAAATAAGGAGAAAGAAGCATTTGTCCTGATTTTCCTTCATAAACTATGTGAACAGTAACCAATAATAGATAAGAGGTAGTAACATCTATAAAATATTCTAACTTTAAATACATGTAATAAAATGAGAATAATCCCATTTATAGCCCCCAACGGATTAATAGATCTATGCATTACATACTGACTGTTAACATCATAAAGAGACAGTCTGGCACTGCATGTTTCCTATGGTCTTGCGAAAAGAACTGAACCTGAATCAGATCAAGTCTCTGGATCCAACTGCCAATTTTCAGGAAATGTAGAGCACAGAGGAATGTGCTGAACTGCATCATAAGTGTGCAATCAGCAAAATCCAGACTGGAAAATTCCATAGGTGGAACAGCTCAGGTTCTTACTTCTTAGCTAATCAGTAAGGCATAGAAAGGGATAGAAGGAGAATCTATAAAGTAGGATAAAAGACATCAAATATGTTAAGAAGGCAACACTAAACTTGTGTCAAGAATAAAACTGAAAAACTCACAAGGAAGTGATTATTACAGGGGTTAGGCTAGTGGTTACTTACTGGGGAGAGAAGGGATGCTGTAGTTGGGATTAGGCACACGGACAGGGCTTCTCAATGGACAGCAAAGTTCTGCTTGACTTGGTGGTGGTTATAAGGTTATTTCTCTGAAATAATTCACTGAGCTACACATTTTTTTCTGTGTAGTTTTCTGTATCTGTGCTCATTTTTAAAAGTTTTTTAAAAGTTGTATTTATTTGGGTTTGTTTTAAAGAGAGTGCCACAAACAGGAGGAAAAAGTCAAGCTACTGGGAAGCAGTGGATTCGGCTTGAGTCTGGCCAGTATTGGCTGATACCCACTTTCATTCAATGTTTACTGAGCATCTATTATACAGGACACTTTGCATATCAATAAATAAAAAAGACACTGTTTCTGCCCTTAAGGAGCTTCATAGTATAACTGGTAAGACACATGTTAACCATATTTTAATCTAACAACACACTACTGAATATACAATTGCACACTGTGTCAAGTGCACTGAAGGATTGGCATGCAGGTCCATGAGAGGCACAAGGAAGGAAGCCACCCTGGACTTGGGGTAAGGGTTGGGGAATTGGACATTCAGGGAGGGTCTCCTTGATCATGGGACACTGAGATGGGAAAAAGTAGTTGACAATGGGGGATTTAAGGTGTAGGGACCAAGCTCTCGATGATATTCACAGTATAGTGGGGGAGAACAACATTAATCCTATAATAACACTTTTTTCCCCCAATTTCTGGTAGATGTTATACAGAAAAGTCACAAGGAACTAGGGATCCTGAAAAGAAGGCCACAGGGGGTGGGTGGAGAATGCTTCAGACTCTGTGGCTGGAGCGGGTATGGTGAACATGAGGAGACTGGTTGGCATCAGTCATGCAATACAAGACTACAGTGGTGGCTAGGAGGCAAACTGCACAAGTCTTGCAGCTCTGTGGAAGAGTTTGGTGTTTTTCTCAATGTAAGAGGCTTTTCTGTTGTTATTTTTTTTCCCATCACTTGTGGTGCTACTGGCATCTAATAAGTAGAGGCCAGATATGTTGTTAAATATTCTAAAAAAATGCCCTACAACAAAATTATTTAGCTCAAAATAGGGTTGAGGTTGAGGAACCCTCGCCTGGAAGTAGACTCCAATTTCCCCTGCATTGTTTTTTACCGAGTGTTCTGTATGCCAACCAAGGGGTGTTTCCTAACCACAAGGCAGGCTGGTGTAATCTCCATGTCCCTTCCCTTCATAAGAGCTCCCTGGGATGGTAAGGAAGAGACAGATCTAGACAACCCTTTACATAGCACCAGTCCTTGGCAGTTCAGGGATGGGCCAGAAATGTTCACTTCTAAAGTCTGTCAACAAAATAGCAAATACACACATACCTGGAACAGAGCACAGCAGTCTACTTATTCCCAGAGTTGTGCATCTCTTACAAGTCACATGCATAAAGATAACTCAATAGTGTCGCATAAAGGGGTCCGACAATCCAGGAGTATTTTAATTGCTCTTGAATTTCAGATCTATATGCCATAAAGAAGGCAAAACCTTTGTACTATACAAAAAGTTACTGTTGATGTCCTAGACAAGTCAGGACATGAATTGATTGCTTTCAGGTAATCTATTTAGCTTAGGTTTTAGAACTGGTTTACTCAGAAGTAATGCGCTCAGAAGCTATCCATTCCACAGGACTCTGGGCCTTTCAAGGGGGCACCGAAAGGCTTGAGGAGGGGCATTGGGAGTTGAAAGCAAGGGCTGCAGGCAGAGCAGCCCTACTTTTAGCCGCTTAAGTGATCCCACTTTAATGGAACTTCTGCTGCCAAAATGTTTAGAAAGGTTTGAAACACTATATTAGCCCTTCTGTAGACTAAAGTGGTCCTGAACATACTCATGAATTTTGTTTCCAGTTTCCAGAAATAGACCTTTTGGAACTTAAAAGCTTTCCTCAGGTAATCATTGTGTTACGTGGTGAGCAGGTTCTTAAGCTGACCCATGACACAGCTGACCCAGAAAAATATACTGTTTCTACTCTGAACTTGGGGTATCTCCTTTTCACATTAAGGTCATTCCTCTGAGCTTCAGCTGCCACTTAGCACCGTGAGAAGAAATTTCCCATGTCCACTTAGGAGGCCTCTAAGTACCTCACAATCTTCCCCTACCTCCCCAATACCCTACCCTCTCCCCTCTCTCTAGGCAACCTCATCCCCATCTGGGGCTTTGCTGAGGGTTCTATATGCTGACAATTCCTCTATATGTTTTTCCAACCAAAACCTCTCATGCAGTACCATATTCATACAGTCAGCTGTACATGCTACTTCTCCACTTAGGGGTCTCATAGTCACCACAAATTTAGTGCACACAAATTGAACTCAACATCTTCTAGAACATGGTTCTTTTCCGGTGTTCTCTGTCTTAGAGAAGTACACCTTAATTCATCCAGTTACCCAGGGCAGAAATCTTTTCTCCTCAATTCTCACATCCAGCCCATCGGCAAGTCCTGTTGATTTTACCTCTTACCACTTCCCTCCATTCCTACCACCATCATGCTAGGCCACGCCACCATTATCTCTGGCATGAACTATTGTGGCAACCTTTTAATTGGTCTCTCTACAACACCTTTTGCTTCCCTTCAATTCTTTCTCCACAAGCTTGTCAAAGCATTAAAAAAAAAAAGTACAAATCTGATTGTCATACAATTGCTTTAAAAAATCTCAGTAGCCCCTTACTGCTCTGTGGCTGGAGCTGAGACTCCTAACTGTGATCCACTACGGTCTGGTCGTTCATCGGCTCAGGGCTCTGCTTGCCTCTCCCCTTCATCTCTACACCACTTTCCACACCTCTACCGCATGGATTTTGTTCTGCTCCCATGCCTCTTCTTGAGTACCGGCTCTAGTACATGTTGTTCTCCCTGCCCGGATGTTCTTTTTCTCCCCTCTACCCCTCAGGGGATTACCTTCGACTCATCTTTCAACTCTCAGCTCATGCTTCACCTTCTCAGGGACGCCACCCCTGACCTCCTCTGTTAGACACTCCCATGGCACCCTGCACTTCTTTGTATCACTTACCACAGCCAAGGATAACAATGACTTCCTCACTTGGTTGTTTAATACATTCTACCCTGCTAGAAAGCAAGTTCAAGGACAGCAGGGATCTAGAACAATAGTCCATACAAAACAGAGGAGCAAGACTATCTGGGTCCAAATACTAACTCAGCCACTTGCCAGCTGTGAAACCTTGGGCAAGTTATTGAATCCCTCTGTTTCACTTTCTCCCATCTGTAAGCTAGGATTAATAAACAGGTTAAATTATCTGTTTTTTAAAAAAATACCTAGCCGTACATGGTGTCTCATGCCTGTAATCCCAGCACTGTGGGAGGCGAAGGAGGGAGGATTGCTTGAAGCCAGGAATTAAAAACCAGGGAAGATGCTGGGACTCCTTTCCACTGGGTGACCCACCGATTTGTAGGGTGTCCTCAGGGTGCCATGTGGCAAAGGACTTGCTGAAGGCTGCTACTCTCTTCACAGGCTTCTCTGACAGACCCTGAAGCTCCAGGGAAGGAAGACACAACATAATGGACCCTTCTGAGAACTTCATGAAAGCTACGGACCTCCCTCCAAAAAAATGCTCACATGTAGTCTCTAACATTGTGCATATAATTTCAAGGGGTTTGGGATTCTCTAAGCCATTAATGTTTAAAAGCCTTAGAATTACACAAATAACCTGCTTATGAGAAATGGGTCAATACAGCATTCTCCTTCCTTGTCTTCAAGTAAATGCCAAAGCCATGGGCCACATAGGTAAGGGGCATCAGCCTTGTGGACACAGGAGTTCTTGTTGGTCACACCACTGTGGCTGGTGAGATCTCCTCTCATTTCGCAGAGAGAATGCTGGTATTCTTGGGACTACAGAGGTGGATACCGTGGTACTGCTGCAGATCTACAATACACCACATGTGCATCTGTGCATGAAGTCAACTGCTCCCATACTCAGGGACATGACAGAGTCACGGTCAGCCAGGGGATGCAAGCCAGGCTAGTGTAGAAGTGAATCATGGCATATTACCTAGTCAACTGGATCAAAGATACACTAGTCTTAGGTAGCTCAGGTTTCTTTACTTAGCAAGAATGATGGAGTTGGAGTTCTTGGCTCTTTTTACTAGGCATGGAGTCTGTATCATAGACATAACTTCCTCTTATTTAAAATACAGGGCCCTGGTCGGGCATGGTGGCTGGGGTTACTCCTATAACCCCAGCACTTTGGGAGGCTGAGGCAAACAGATCACAAGGTCAGGAGTTAAAGACCAGTCTGACCAACATGGTGAAACCCGTCTCTACTAAAAATTCAAAAATTAGCTGGGCTTGGTGGCAGACCTGTAATCTCAGCTACTCAGGAGGCTGAGGCAGGAGAACGGCTTGAACCCAGGAGGCAGAGGTTGCAGTGAGCCGAGATCATACCTCTGCACTCCAGCCTGGCAACAGAGCGAGACTCTGTCTCAGTAAATAAATAAATAGGCCCTGGGCTGAAAGAATGCTACCAACTGAAGCCAAGGGCCACACACATGCTTCTCGCTCAGTGCTGAGGTCCCCTGCTTCTGCAGGAAACAGACACCTTACCTGTCTGACAGCTGCCCCGAAATGAAGGAGCCCAACAGCACACCCACGAAGAACAAGGAGATGGTGAGTGGGGCCTTCCAGTCGTCCTCACACACCAGGTTCCACTGCAAGATGAGCAAAGGGGTGTATCATTCATGTCTTTTTAAAACGTTTTAAAGCAAAGGCATCCTGGAAAACGAAGTCAGAACATCCTGCATCTCTGCATGTTCTGGGTGTAAACTCATTTAGGCAGGTGATGGCTCACCTGGGCAGGAAGGCAGAAATGAAGTTTCCTCCCCATCCTGTTTTTCATAGCGTTGTGGGCCCCACTGTCTTGCTTCCATTTTGAGGAGGAGAGATAGGCAGAGAGTAAGTGTTCTGTCCACGTGCTCACCCTGAAGAAGGCAAGGCCTCTTATGCTCACTCCTAAAAATCTGAGCCGAGCCCAGGGCTATGGAAAAGGCAGGGCACCCTTACTCAATGGGGTTTAAGGTCATTGGCATGAATGACAGTGTAGTAGTTCTGGAAGTGGGGCTCTGGGGCTCTACAGGCCACAGCATCCTGTGAGGAACTAAGGCTAGGGCACAGAGTGCACCATCTGGATCTGTTCCTCCAGCTCTGCTCAGGTTCCCACACTGGGCCAGTGACCCCCAGGTCCTTCTTGTGATCTTTAGAGCTGGAATCCCTGATGCTGCACACCAACTATACTAGGCTCAATTACATCTGAAAGCTCTGAGCTGGGAGGTAAGAAACTGGGTTTTAGCTCCCACTCTATTAACTCATCCAACCTCAGATAAGCATCACCCCATACTGTGCCTTGATTTCCCCATTTGTAAAACAGGGATTGGGGTAAGGAACAGGCTGCACTGCTTGAGTTTCCAGCATCCAATGTGTGGTTCCATTTACAGTTACCTTGAACAGAAAAAGAGGTCTGCAGGCAAGGGAGGAGGTACATGGGGAGCAGCCAGACGCTTGAATCCAGGCCATGCCTGCCTAACCAGGAGCCAAAAGCAGGAAGAAAGCCCAAACAGGAAGCTTGGTGGTTCACACAAAAATGAAAAATGTTTTTCAGACAGTGAGATGGTGCTCAGTAGTAACCTCTGCAGACTTTTCAAATGAGCAGCCACCCTCCTGGGAACTCAGACCCTTGCCTGTCTGGCGCCAGGCTGCTGGCCTGCCCTCCACAGAGCCTGCTGGCTCCTCACCAACGACACAGGCAAGGGGACATGCGGCTCCCTAGAACAAAGCATCTCTTCCGAGCCAGTGACAGGGAAAAACAAGCCTGCTTCTCTGCCCTGCTGGGCAGTATGTGCACACAGCTTTTGGGTACTTCTCAGAGGGGTTGGCAGGCAACTGCAGGCACGCTGCTAGCTCTCTGTTTGGAATAAGCGTGTACCTGGATGGGCTGGGAGTGGGGTGGCAATCCCCAACCCAGGGAAGAATTAGAGCATCCAATCCCCAATCAGGAGGCAGCCCAGACTAGCAGGAGTCAAGAACATGTGAGCACCATAGCCCAAGTGGCCAGGCTGCTGCAGCTTCCAAGCTCCACAGCCTCAGAGGGGCCAGGACCTGCAGGCCATCTCTCTAGTAGGTGGGCGAGTATCCCTGTAGTGGCCCCTATCCACACATAGGGGCATATGACATAGTTCCCTAGGACTAAATGTTCTGACCTGTGAATTGGCAAGGAGGGAAAAAAGATAGGGTGTGTTGCCCCTAAGGCAGAAGTTCTTCCTGAGATGTACCTAGCCTGAACACATGAACAGACACACTGCTAAGCACCACGTGTTACTGATTGCCATGTATTCCTACACACATTTTGTCCTGCCTCCTTCTGCAATTAATGATGAATCCTTGCCTCAGGGCTGTCAAAGCAAAGAGGAAAGGTATTTGCTATCACATCCTCTACAACTCCTGGCAGTGCCCTGTACAGAGGGGAGGCTCAGGAGCTCTTTGGTACATAGGTGAGTGAATGAATGGATAAATAAAAAGGTATCAACTTTCAACATCTTAGCATACTTTGGTTCTTGCTTGCCTGCCCAAAGTCCAGATCAACCCTGAACTTCAACCTCCACCTCCCAGTTCAAGTGATTCTCATGCCTTGACTTCCCAAATTGCTGGGACTACCAGGTGTGCACCACCAGCCTGGCTAATATTTGTGTTTTTAGTAGAGATGGGTTTTGCTATGTTGACCAGGCTTGTCCTGAACTCCTGACCTCAGGTTATCCACCGATCTTGGCCTCCCAAAGCACTGAGATTAAGGCAAGAGCCACCATGTTTGGCCCCCCATTTTTTTTTTTCGCTCCCTGACCCCCTGCTTTGTGTCAACTGTCAGAACTTTGACCCAGGATGACGGGTCTCAGCTAGCTAGAGAGGGGCTCAATCTGACCACTCATGGCCAATGTGTGTACTATGTTTGTGTATAGTGGGCCACAGGACCCTGCACGTGGCTGCTCTGCCTTGCCATATAGCTGCAATAGCTGCAAAAGACTGGATGAGAGTCTGTGTGTCCCCTGAGTGAGAGAAATCAGCAAAGGTGTAGCATGGGGCCCAAGCTCTAGGTCTCTCGAGTTTCTGCTGCCCAGAGTCAGCCCCGGCCCCAGCTCCCAGGTTGCTATAGCTTTTCCACCAGGCAGCTTTGGGGATAACAGAGGAGTCTCTCCCATCTTCTAAGACTATCTCTGCAAGAGAAAAGGCTGATAGAAAAGCTAGTCCAAGACAATAGGGAGGGAGTAGGAGTCCTACACAGGACCGGGCTAAGGGCTTCTCAGAAGCAGATAGGTGGAGAGCAAGGCGATGCAGAGCAGCTTGGAGGTTTCTTTCTTTTTTTTTGTTTGAGACAGAATCTTGCTCTTGTCACCCAGACTGGAGGGCCATGGTGTGATCTTGGGTTATTGCAACCTCTGCCTACTGGGTTCGAGCAATTCTCCTGCCTCAGCCTCCCAAATAGCTGGACTTACAGGCTCCCACCACTACACCCGGCTAATTTTTGTATTTTTAGTAGAGACAGGGTTTCACCATGTTGGCCAGGCTGATCTTGAACTCCTGACCTTGCAATCCGCCCATCTCAGCCTACCAAAGTGCTGGGATTACAGGTGTGAGCCACCACACCTGGCTGGACGTTTCTGTCCACTGGCTGGACTGGGCTATGGTGAAACCAAAAAGCAAGCAGCCTAGGCAACCTCTGAAAACACCCAGGTTCGCAGCAGAGGGGCTCATGGCCAAGAAGCACTGCATGATGGGTTGGCTAATTCCCCAGTACCCCAGGGATGACAGGGGTCAGAGAAGAGGGCAGCCTAGAAGCATGTGGACCATCAAACTATTCCTGAAACATGGGAGCACAAAACTCTTTTACCTCATAAATCATTTTTAGTTATTATTATTATTTTGAGATGGAGTCTTACTCTGTTGCCCATGCTGGAGTGCAACGGTACAATGTTGGCTCACTGCAACCTCCGCCTCCTGGGTTCAAGCTATTCTCCTGCCTCAGTCACCTGAGTAGCTGGGACTACAGGTGCATGTGACCACGCCAGGCTAATTTTTTGTATTTTTAGTAGAGACAGGGCTTCACCGTATTAGCCAGGATGGTCTCAAACTCCTGACTTCAACTGATCTGCCTTGGCTTCCCAAAGTGCTGGGATTACAGGCGTGAGCCACCACACCCTGTCAATATTTATTTATTTATTTATTAATTATTGGCAGATTCCCTCTGCCAATCCCAACACCTCATTCTATATCCACATGGCATCAAAGCCCCAGTCAGTGGGTGGAGAGAGCCAGATTTCTTTTAAAAAATTCCAGTCAATGCTTTTTGCCTACCCCCAAGTTTCCCTTCTAAGAATTGAGCTGTCCATTTTTCTTCCGTTCTCAAACTTTAGAGATGATTTCTTTTTCATTAACCCATTCAATAAAAATTTTCCTGAGAATCTCCCTCTGCATCCAGAATTGTGTCAGAAATTGAGGAAGATGCAAAGATAATCCACCACAAAGTTTAGTGCTGCATGTATGTACTCTAACTTGAACAAAGAAAAAAAATCCAAACAGGACACCTGAGGTTCTAGTCTTCAGTGGAAATAATATGACTCAAATTCAATACCAGTGTACTTACAAACACCTTTATGTATGATTTGGGGCAGAGGGCAGGCTTAGAGACATTTAGCAGGCACAGGACTAGATGCAGTGGTCAACAGGCCAGGTTTGGGTTGAAAGACAAAAGGCCATAGAAAAAGCCATTAGAATGTTGATGCAGCAACTTCCAGCAGTAGCTGTTCACCTAAGAACAAGCAGCTCTGAATTTAAAGTAAAGCATTCCAGGAGACCAAAACAAAGATCTAAGTATTAATCTGGCCTCCCTGCAAAGATTGACAACATATAAGTAGGTGAAAGGGCACCTAACTCCTTTGAAACTGCTAAGACAGCTAAGTAAATAGTCTAAATATTAAACAACAAAAGGCTGACATTGGCAGCAAGGTAAGGGCAGACCCCCTGGCACAGCTGGCCTTTGGGAGCTCATCAATGCCACCACCACTCATTCCAACATGGGGTGGGGGCAGCAAAGCAAGAACAAATGACTAAGTAAGGCCTCAAGGGTCAATGTAAAACTCCAAGAGATGCTATGAGCTTCTTCTCACTTTACTACCTCCCTCTGCTTTAGGCAGCCCCAAGTAGAATTTGTAGGGATTCCTATATCATGTTCCCCTCTTTGTCCTCTGCCTGCAACCCCAGGGACAGCCTCTGCTTTCACAGTACTCACTGGCTTCTAGGAAGGTAACAGACCCAACCTGTGAGGCTAGGACTCAGGATTTATGGCAACTGAAGGTTCCAATTCTCTGTGGATTCATGGGCCTGAAAGCACAGTTGGCTACCTCCAGTGAGTGCCTCTTTTGTCAAGTCATGAAGCTTCTGATCACTGAGGCTATGTCGCTAGCTAAGAAATCTCAGTGGGGCTCAGGTCACACTCCCACTAAATACATGTGGAGAAAGCAGGTCCAGGTGCTGGGGACATCAAACTTCCAAACAGAAAAAACATGCGCATGCACACACACTCAAGTCTCCCAGGGTATCTCTCAGACTCCCTTGAAGGGTGATGACGTCAAGAAGCAACACAGTTGAGACCTCCAGAGCCCCTGTAAGCCCTTCTGAGGCTCCAGGAGAGAGGCTCAGCACCCACATCCAGCAGGGTGTGAAGCCGTGCCAAGGCCTATAGCACTCTCCCTCTCTATGAACTCTCCCCTCTCTGTAAACTCTGCCCTCCTACTATGTGGTTTTTGTTGTTGCATCTAGACCTTCAGCTTACTATTCTGCTGAGCTGAACACCTTAGACTCGCTGAGAGGCCTCCTCCTCCCGGAAGCCTTCTCTGACCTGTGAATTCCTTATCTGCACATTCAGTGATCCCATCTATCAAAGAGGGCTCTTCACTGGCTGCTTATTCAATGCTGCTAAAACTTCAGGGAGCTAGAGTGCCAGTGTCTGAGAAAGACACAAAACACATGCGTCATTAACATCATGTTCTTACATCCAGCTCCAACAACTGCTCCAACAGGTTCGGAGGGGACAAAACCACCCAGAAGGAAAATCCAAGGGGCTGAGAAATGAGAAAGGTTCCCCGACTCTCTGTGACCTAAGATTGTATACTTTAACTAAATCTGGCCAACAGCCTTGCCTCAGAATACCTTAGAAAACATTCCAGGTCACCAAGTTACCCTGAACAGATCTTCAGATGAATGGATCTTAAATGACAACTGACCATGGGAAAAGGCAAACACAGGGCATGACCAGACTGTCATTTTGGGTTGTGGAGACGATAGGGGAAAGAGTAATTAGAGGAAATCGGGAAGAGGCAGCTTTATACACATGCTTTATTTTCCAGCACTTTGGGAGGCCGAGGCGGGTGGATCACGAGGTCAACAGATCGAGACCATCCTGGTCAACATGGTGAAACCCCGTCTCTACTAAAAATACAAAAAATTAGCTGGGCACGGTGGCGCGTGCCTGTAATCCCAGCTACTCAGGAGGCTGAGGCAGGAGAATTGCCTGAACCCAGGAGGCGGAGGTTGCGGTGAACCAAGATCATGCCATTGCACTCCAACCTGGGTAACAAGAGCGAAACTCCGTCTCAAAAAAAAAAAAAAGTTCAGGAAAGAGAAGTATTTCCTCTCTTCTAAAAAGAAGCCAAGAGACTAGAGGAAAAACGGGATAGCCCCTGACCCAAGCCCTGGCTGTGCTCCTCACCACCCCCAACCCCAACTAGAGGAAGTCCTGGACACTCATGGCCATAGGGCATCTTCCACGGACCGCCAGGACCTTCCTAGTACCCTCTTCAAAGTGGCCATCAGGATGGGAGGCCAGGCTGACAATCTGCTGTGAGGAGCACACTCTGGCTGGAGGTCCCCTCGAAAAGCGTTCCCAAGCCACCTGGCTGGTGGGTCTCCATCACTAGGGTGTTGACTGTGGGGGAGGGGGAGTGGCGGCGTCCAGCGTGCATCTGGGAGAGAGGAGCTCGGGTTCAAGGGCCGGACGATCCCCTCCGTGCCCCAGTCTCAGCCCGGGCGGGGGCTGGCACCCACCTCGGTCACGATGGTGGACAGGTAGACGTCCTGGCTGAACTCCCAGCCATCCAGGCAGCTCTCCAGCTCCAGCTGCCCCAGGTCCACGTCGCGCCCCGGCTCCAGCCCGAGCGCCGAGAAGTTGGCGATGGTGGCGAGCCGGTAGCGGCGGCAGCTGTGGGGCACCTCGCGGCCGTCCTGCAGCCGCAGCGGGACACTGTGGTTGCGCCAGGCGCTGCTCAGGTTAGCGGCGTCCGGCACCCGGCAGCGGTGCGCCGGGGTCCCTATCAGGAACACGGAGGACAGGCCGGTGAAGCCATTGGGGATGATGCTGGCGCTGAGCAGGAAGAAGATGAGGCGCTGGAAGGGCCCCCACTCGCCCAGGAAGGCGGTCACCTCGTCGTAGTCCCGCATGCCGCCCTCTGCGGCCCACAGCTCGCGGCCCGGGGTCTGAGGACGCGGCGGGTTTTGCGCGTGCGCGCGGGGCACACGCCGCCGACCAGGCGAGCCAAGCAGCTAGCGACCCGATACCGTCCGCCGAGGGTAGGCTTGTGAGCTGATACCGCCGCTGCGGTCCTGCCTTACATGGGGCGCTCTGCCAGGGAGGGTTCCGGGCCTGGGCGGTAAGGCCCGCCCTGCCGGCAGGCAGTGTGGGGCTGGCGAGGGCGGAGCTGGGGCGGGACGTAAGGGCGCGGGGCGGGCCGGGTGCACTTGAGGCCCAGGCGGGGTCTGTCCCGGGGGCCTGGCGGCGGCCCGGCCTCCACCAGCCAAGGCAGTAAGGGATGACCGAGATAGCCCGGGCTCGGCTTAGGAAGGAAGCGAGACTCGCGGTCTTGGGGTGCGAGTCCGAACTCGTTCCTCCAGCGCGGGGTCGGGAGTGAGTGGGAGAGCGGCCGCGAGGCTCCAGTGCTGAAAACGCACCTCTCCCAGCTTTCGGCGAGGCCTACGCGGGGTGGGGGTGGGGACGGGGAGAAAGTGACTGGTCTAGGCTCTCACAGATAGTTGCTGTTGACACCACCTATCCTTATAAGGGGAACTGGGACTGTTAACTGCCCCACTAGAGAGGCTTGGAGCTATGACTTTTCATTCTAGTCCAGATGCCCTTTCTATATTTTCGTCGGTAACAAGCCATTTTATTTATGCCGATATGAAAATTTAACATCACGATTAATGATCCTAGCCTAAGGTTAAATATTCTCCACAGGTTAGTTATTTCTGCGAAGAGTTTGTTCGGGAACTAATAGGAACAACAACAAAAAGCAGCGAGGTGATTCTAAAGCAGCAATGTTCAATAGGATAAGGAGCTATATTTGTTGTTAATTTTTCTACTAGCCATATTAATAAAATTTTCAGATTTAGCAAATAAAAATATAGGACTCCTACTGAAATTCGAATTTCAGATATAGAATGAATAATTTTTAAATATTATGTCCCATGAAGGAATATATAAAATGAAAATGTAACTGGTTGTCTTGTATTTTATCTGGCAATGCTGCATATTTAAAAAGTAAAAGTAAAGGATGAAATTAACTTTAATAGTATATTTAATCAATATATCCAGAACATAATTTCATCATATAATCAATGTAGAAATTATTGATCTTTTACATTGATATATACGAATCATTGATCTTTTATTTCCTCCCCTTACTAAATCTTAAGAATTCAGTGTGTTTCACATGTTCTCAGGATTTGAAAAAAAGAATCCGGTATGCACTTTACAGCACCTTTAAATTTGGACTAGCCACAATTTTGTTTTTTAATATTTATTCATTTATTTATTGGAGACATGGCCCCACTCTGTTGCCCAGGCTAGAGTGCAATGACACAATCATAGCTCACTGCAGCCCTGAACTCCTAAGCTTAAGCAGGCCTCCTGCCTAGCCTGCCAAGTAGCTGGGACTACAGGCACAGGCCACTATGCCCAGCTAAATTTTTTTTTTTTTGCAGAGACAAGGCATCCCTATGTTGCTTAGGCTGGTTTCATACTCTTGGGTTCAAGCAGTCCTCCCACCTCAGCCTCCCGAAAAGCTGGTAGCTATTGGTTATCTTATTGGACAGCACCATTCCAAGACCTTTAAGAATTTAGACTGCTAAACTTAACAATGCAAGACATTCTTTTTAAAAATAGTAGTGGCTTAGTGATAGAAACAGAACTAAGTATATACTTTTACAATATAATGTGTTGGGTAAGCAATATTTAATAGTCACTATAGTCTAAGTTGAAAATAAAGCTACAGAAAGGGAACCTAACCTTGCCAGCAGGTTTTTAACAGGAAATTTAAACATTTGCATGAAACATAATAGACTTTTAAAAATTATAATAAAGATGTTATCACAGAACTTGTTTGTTTCTTTACAACTAATCTTGCTTCTTTTTTTTTTTTTTTTTTTGAGACAGTTTCACTCTTGTTACCCAGGCTGGAGTGCAATGGCGCAATCTCAGCTCACCACAACCTCCGCCTCATGGGTTCAGGCAGTTCTCCTGCCTCAGCCTCCTGAGTAGCTGGGATTATAGGCATGCGCCACCATGCCCAGCTAACTTTTTGTATTTTTAGTGGAGACGGGGTTTCACCACATTGACCAGGATGGTCTTGATCTCTTGACCTCGTGATCCACCCTCCTCGGCCTCCCAAAGTGCTGGGATTACAGGCTTGAGCCACCACGCCTGGCTATTCTTGCTTCTTGAAGATGGATGCTTATACCTTTAGCAACGAACTTAATCCCTTCTCACATCTTATGTGAAGTTGTAGTTCTTATCTGGAATTAACTGCAAAAGAAAGCAAAGCTTATTAAAAACTCCTTTTTTGTGTGCTAAAATATTGTTTTAATATTTCAAAATAAATGAAAGCTTCTATAAGAAGAATGTTGACCTGTGTCCAGACCAAACAAGGTGAAGAAGTCTTATTTTAACATTCGAGAAACATCAATTGGGCATCAGATAACACTCCTGAAAGGGATTGAAAACAATGCAGTAGACTACAAAAGAAGCTGCACATCCTTAGGAAGAAAAGAAACCATTTGTCATAGATGGCTTGTCCACGTGTGCAAAGTAGAGGGCAACCTAAGACGGTGCTGTCTGGTTCCAGGTGCACTGTGATTACTATCTGAATGTAGTTATTATTTAAATTACTTTTTTTTTTTTTTTTTTGATACAGGGTCTCTCTGTCACCCAGGCTGGAGTGCAGTGGCACAATTTTGGCTCACTGCAACCACGACCTCCCGGGCTCAAGTGATCCTCTCACCTCTCAGCCTTCTAAGTTGCTGGGACTATAGGCACATGCTGCCACACCTGGCTAATTTCTTTTTGTATTTTTGGTAGAAATGGGGTTTTGCCATTTTGGCCAAGCTGGTCTCAAACTCCTGACTGCAAGTGATCCTCCTGCTTTGGCCTCACAAAGTACTGGGATTACAGGTGTGAGCCACCATGCTCAGCTTTAAATTTCATCTTTTAAAAGAGAAAGAGCTCAGAATCTGAATCAGTTGCGTGAGGTCCTTTATCCTGCAAGGTTCTGAATTAGGATGTTCCTATTTTATACATAAGAAAATGTAAAACTGATTTATATGGTAAATAACCATAAGGTTCAGGGCTAGAACTTTAAATGGTAGTTTGCCTCCAAGATGGCACCCAATGAATGATCCCTGTACCACAATTGGTCTATGTGACCAAAAGCATACAGCATTAGTGATGGCACTTACATATCTTGGGTGATTACATTATAAAAGATGTCCATCTTGGGTGTTCTTTCTCTTTTTCTCTTGCTCAGAGACAAGCAAGCTGTCATGTTACAAGCAGCCCTTTGAGGGGTCCATGTGATGTCTAAGAATGAAGTCTAGTCAACTTTTAATGAGGTCTTGAGGCCCACAAGTAATCTTGAGTGAGCTTGGAAGTAGCTCCTTCAGCATCACTTGGGTGTTGAGATAACTGCTGACAGCTTTACTACAACCTCATGAGAGTCTTCTGAACCAGAACCACTCAGGTAAGCAGCTCCCAGATTCTTAATCCTCAGAAACTGTGAGAAATAATGAATGTTTGTTGTTTTAAACTGCTAAATTTTAAGGTATTATGTTATGCAGCAATAGATAACTCATATACAAATTATTTGAATCAAACAATATGTTAAATGAAAATTCAAAAGAATAAACATCTATAATTCCTTGATTTCTTTTCCCTTCTATTCTGCACAATAGAATTTTACAGATGAACCTTATAAGTACTTGTGCAATAAGAGACAGTATATTGTATTGGTTAAGTGCATAGCCTTTGGATGTATGCTAATAGAAAAACCAGTATTCAATTGCTTTTTTCTTCAATTCCAAGCTTGTGAGCTTGAGTAAATTTAAAGTTTACTAAGCCTCAGTTTCCTGGGTTGGTAGTGCTTAGCTCAAGCTCCTAGCGTATATTAACTATAAACCAAATATTAGTTTTAATTATTTGTTTTAGTTTGATTATTGGCTCTAAATAAATGCCTTAAGAATGATGTGTTCTCCATAGATTTGGATATCTCGGGACGTTATATAGGCTGGAGCAGTCAGCAATTACTTGCCTGAGGAAGGGAAAGTCTCCAAAGAACAGACTCCTCATTTAAGAAAAGAGGCCAGGTGCAGTGGCTCATGCCTGTAATCTCAGCCTTTTGGGAGGCTGAGGAGGGCAGATCACCTGAAGTCAGGAGTTTGAGACCAGTCTGGGCAACATAGTGAAACCCTGTCTCTACTAAAAATACAAAAATTAGCCAGGTGTGGTGGCACACTCCTGTAGTCCCAGCTACTTGGGAGGCTGAGGTGAAAGGATCGCCTGAGCCTGGGAGGCGGAGGTTGCAGTGAGTTAAGATCGTGCCACTGCACTCCAGCCTGGACAACAGAGCAAGTTTCCATCTCAAAAAGAAAAAAAAAGAGTAGAAGGCCCAAACTCAATCCAATATTATAGCTTCAGCATCAGAGTAGAGAATGATTCAGAGGGGCTGTTCAGCGTCTGCTGTAGATCCCACAGATCTGTGTTTGGATGCTTCTGGTAAGAAGTGTATGGCAGCTGTACCTGACAGATGCACTTGGCAGCAATAACTTATGCATACCTGAAGGATGACCCTATGGTCTAAGAAGAATGTGTGTTCAGAGCTCTAAGCTAAGGAATCTGGGAGTGGCCAACCCAGAGATTTCATTTCTTATCTATGAGGAACTTCTGAGTGCTCCCACACCCAGCCCATCCTGTAGAATGCAGGCCCTACTAGGTGATCAAAGCCCTTTGTTTTAAGTTAAATGAAGGTTGCCTGGTAGAGGTTGCTAGGGGACAGGTGTTAAGTAAAAAAGTGCTATACAAACTGCATGCTTTTTTTTTTGAGACAGTTTTTGCTCTTGTTGCCCAGGCTGGAGTACAATGGTACAGTCTTGGCTCACTGCAACCTCTGCCTCCTGGGTTCAAGTGATTCTTCTGTCTCAGCCTCGCAAGTAGCTAGGATTACAGGCACCTACTACCAGGCCTGGCTAAGTTTTTGTATTTAGTAGAGACAGGGTTTTACCATGTTGGTTAGGCTGGTCTCAAACTCCTGACCTCAGGTGATCCACCAGCCTTGGCCTCCCAAAGTGCTTGGGATTACAGGTGAGAGCCACTGAGCCTGGCCAACTGCATGCTTTTTACAAGGAGTTTTGGTTCTCCTGCCCAGCCCACTGACACTGGACTGCCCTTTATGTAAGGCCCTTCAATAAATCTTATGTCTCATTTGCTGGTTCTAGGTCTCTTCTTCAGCCTCTTGAACATGGTGCCATCCTTACTGAAGTCATTGCAGTCTGGCATGACAAGGGAAACTTAAATAAAATCTGAAATAGCTATTTTTTTCCTTGCCAAAATCCCTGTAAGGTATTACTTACCTTGGCCTCAGAACATCGAACTATGACTCAAGAGCGGAGAAACAGAAGTCTGTCCATGTCATCAGACAACATCCCAGGTGGGATGTTATCACCCCAGTGCATACCAGCATTTGGGCAGAGTAGAGCAGCTGCAGCCTAGCAAGATTTGCCATAATTCTGTTGGTTTGTACAATAGAATGAGAAATCACATTTCTGCTGTTATGTGATCCTGCATTTTAACTTGAGTTTGTTTGGCCTGGACAGATAGGTAACTAGCCGTGAAGAGAGTGGACCTTGAAACATTCTGAAGACTATAAAAAGGATGTAATAAAATACTTTGGACAACTGTTTAAGGACTTAAGTGTCCAGATTCTTTAGATGAGTATAATTTCCAGTGTGAAACCTCACAATTTGGCTTCAAGAGATACAAGACAGGTTTTTGAATTCCACAGAAAAAATAATGCATTGCATTGCAACAAACTTGACCATCCTATTCATGGTAGTAGAAATGTAAATTCATTCCCTTCAGAAATACCTGCAAAAAATGAAATGTGAAATATGCCACTTGCATTTTAAAGACTGGTTATTGCATTCTAGAATAGATGGAAAAGATATTAGTGAGGGTCAGAATTATGAGTTTTCCCAAAAGACTTTTATGTATATAAGTGACATGGCAAGAAAATTGGGTCACTAATGTTTTTCACTTTTTCATTCATTTGGCAAACGTGAATAGATCGATGTGTGTCAAACACTGTTCCGAGTTCTGGGAATTGAGGAAAGAAACAAGCTATCTGTTCTCATGGAGCTCACATTTTACTTGGAGGATGGGAGGCTGACAGTAAAAACTTGTACAAATAAATACAAATTTGAGGTAGTGGCAAGTGCCAAGGAGAAAGAAAAGAGAGTAATGGCATAGAATGACAGTCATTGCTAGCTGCTTTAGATGAATGCTGAGTAAACATGTTTCTTAGAAGGTGATAACTGAGCTGAGAGGCAAAGGATGAGAAGGAATCTGTCCTGTGAAGATCTGGGAAGCCGGTATACTAAGCAGAAGAGCAGCAAGTACAAAGACCGTGAGGTAAGGGATATGCTCAGGGTGACTAAGTAACAGAGGGAGGGAAGACCAGCGTGACTAGAACATAGTGATCAAAGTCATTAGTGTTGGAACATAAGTCAGAGACATTGGCAGGAGGCCAGTATTTTTGCAAGCTAGATTGTCTAGTGCCTTGTAGATAGTGGCAAGGGGTTTGGATTTTATTTTAGGTGAAACACTACCAGAATTTTTTCTTTTCTTTTTTTTTTTTTTTTTTTTTTTTTTTTTTTAATGAAGATGGGGTTTCACCATGTTGGCCAGGCTGGTCTTGAACTCCTGACCTCAAGTGATCCGCCCACCTCAGCCTCCCAAAGTGCTGGAATTACAGGCATGAGCCACCATGCCTGGCCTTCTTTTATGATTTTTTTTTTTTCTTTTCTTTTCCCTTCCTTCCTTCCTCCCTTCCTTCCTTCCTCCTTCCCTCCTTCCCTTCCCTTCTCTTCCCTTCTCTTCCTTCCCCTCCCCTCTCCTCCTCTCTTCCCTCTCTCCTTCCCTTCCCTTCCCTCCACTTTCCTCCCCTCCCCTCCCCTCCTCTCTCTGCTTTGCTCTGCTCTCCCCTCCTCTCTCTGCTTTGCTCTGCTCTCCCCTGCTGTCACCTGCTCTCCCCTCCCCTCCCCTCCCCTTCCCTTTCTTTTCTTTCCTTTTTTGAGACAGGGTCTCACTGTCACCCAGGCTGGAGTGCAATGGCATTATCTTGACTTGCTGCAACGTCTGCCTCCTGGGCTCTAGCAATCATCCCACCTCAGTTCCCCCAGTAGCCAGGACTACACAAACCACACCCAACTAATTTTTGTATTTTTTGTAGAGATGGGGTTTTGCCATGTTGCCTAGGCTGGTCTTGAACTCTTCCCACTTCAGCCTCCCAAAATGCTGGGATTATAGGCATGAGCCATTGCGCCTGGCCTGTCAGAGTATTTTCAAGCAGAAAACATCAGGTCTTATTTCTAGCATAAAAGGAACATTCTGGCTGTTTTTTTCTTTTTTTTTTTTTTGAGACGGAGTTTCACTGTTGTTACCCAGACTGGAGTGCAATGGCACGATTTTGGCTCACTGCAACCTCTGCCTCCCGGGTTCAAGCAATTCTCCTGCCTCAGCCTCCTGAGTAGCTGGGACTACAGGTGCGCACCACCATGCCCAGCTAATTTTTGTATTTTTAGTAGAGACAGGGTTTCACCTTGTTGACTAGGATGGTCTCAATCTCTTGACCTCGTGATCCACCCGCCTCGGCCTCCCAAAGTGCGGGGATTATAGGCGTGAGCCACCGCGCCCAGCCCCATTCTGGCTGTTACATAGAGAATGGACTGTAGAGAACAAGAATGAAAGCAGGTTGACTGATTAGAAAGCACTGCAGCATTATAGGCAAGAGATTATGATGGCCTGAACTAGAGTGATAACTGTGGAAGCGATAAATGGATGAATTCAGAATATTTTTTAAAGCAAAACGTGACATGATTTACTATTGGATATGGGCATGAGAAAAGGAAATAAGGATGATTCCTGGATTTTTAGCTTAAGCAACCTTGTAGCTTTTCATGACTGTTTTTGACTGGGGTAGTGGCAAGAGTGTGAATGGACTGAAGGGATCACAAGGTATAAAGTGGAAGGAAAAGGAAATGATAACAGGTGAGAGCTGAAGGGTTGGGAGGAACAAAAGATCATAAAGTGAGATGGAGCTGTTGTGATTGATGAGGGGCCCAGCGTGTTTCCTCAGCAGCAAGACTGTGATGTATAGGTGAAGGTCAAGTTCTCTGAGGCTAAGGCGTTGAAGCAGGAGTGGCTGCAAGAAACAGACCTCTCGAACACTGATCTGGGAAGGAAGAGGTGTTTATTATTATTATAGTGGGAGACAGGTGACAATTTGTCTAAACAACCAAGTTCCCCTAACAAAAAGAAGCTCTGCCTTTATATAGGCTTACACTCTAGATATTACACATGAAAGAATCTTGGGTTTACAGTTTTAGAAATCACATATGAAAGGGTCTTGGGTTTACAGTTTTAGAAATCACATATGAAAGGGTCTAGGGGTTTTGATCTTGTTTAAGTAAAAACAATATATCTTTCGGAGAGATTCCCCCACACTATGCCTGCTATTTACAGGAAGGTGATTTAGGAGGTATCAGTCGGCCAGCCTTTTCTTCTACTGAAATGCAGTGTGGAAGTCAAGGGGGAGGGATCCTAGATACCTGGGTCTCCTTCTTCTGTGTAGTACTACTCATCTTCCTTGGCACAAAAGTCACCAGCACCTTGATCTGAGTTTTAGGGAGCTCATGAAATGTGGATAACTAACCAGGCAGATGTTAGTAACAGTAACCAGGAGGGCATAGGACAAACCTGAGCAGACCTTTTTAAGTATGTGAAGGTGAAGGAGTTAGGATTTAGAAATGGTAGTGGGAAGCAGGGAGAATGCTGAGAGCTTGCTCAGCTCTTAGCTTTCAAGATCATGGGTGGTGCAAAAAGCCTCCATTTGAGAGACAGAACCAAGAGGCAAGTGGGGTGCTCAGAAGGAAGCCAGGTCTCTATCAAGGAAAGGAGATGGAGAGAACAACCAGGGATGTACTTGAAAGAAGAGAGTTGTTTGGCCGGGCGCAGTGGCACGTGCCTGTAGTCCCAGCTACTCAGGAGGCTGAGGTGGAAGGAACTCTTGAGCCCAGGAGTTCTGGGCTGTAGTGCACTATGCCGATCGGGTATCCGCACTAAGTTTGGCATCAATATGGTGACCTCCTGGGAGCAGGGGACCATCAGGTTGCCTAAGAAGGGGTGAACCGGCCCAGGTCGGAAACGGAGCAGGCCAAAAGCCCCGTGCTGATCAGTAGTGGGATCACTCCTGTGAATAGCCACTGCACTCCAGCCTGGGCAACATAGGGAGACCCTGTCTCTTAAAAAAAAAAAAAAGAGTTGTTTGTCTACAGTGGAATGCATGTTGCAGAGGACTCAGTCGTGGAAAAGACAGCTGCAGTAGGGTGAGCTGGCAGGCTTTGCAGGGGCAGGAGCACAGCAGGGCATTAGAATGGGAGTTTTAGATGAGAAGTATTAAATTTGCAGTGCTGGAGGAAGATCATTTCAAGATTTGCAAAATCAAGCTTTAGACTTTTCTTTGCCAACAGACAGAGAAATTAGGTGATAGTTCAAATCCTTATAATTTTTTATAATCCTTTCAGCAGTCTGTTAAATATAACCTTGGTGATAAGCTAAGTTACCTCAGCATAGCAAGCTTGGCTTGGTCTAAATCAGGGTAGAGGTAATTGCTGCTCAAAGGAAGTGAGAGAAACACCCAGATCTGGACTGGAGAACGTGACTTTGACCTTACTTTCAGCCTCCACAGAGCTCAGCCCCGGGGAGCACTTGGCTAGTTGCTGAGGCCACAGGCAGGAGTTTATAACCAGACTAGACTGAGCCCACTGATGCAATATACTTTTTTTTTTGAGATGGCGTCTCACTCTGTCACCCAGGCTAGAGTGCAGTAAGTAGTGTGATCTCGGCTCACTACAACCTCTGCCTCCTGCGTTCAAGTGATTCTCCTACCTCGGCCTCCCAAGCAGCTGGGATTAAAGGTACCCACCACCATGTCCAGCTAATTTTTGTATTTTTTTTAGGAGAGTTGGGGTTTCATTATGTTGGCCAGGCTGGTCTTGAGCTCCTGACGTCAAGTGGCCTTGGCCTCCCAAAGTGCTGGGATTACAAAATTCATGCCCAGCCTGATGCATGAATTTTGCATTCTTCATGTTCTTCATCTATGCTTCCAAAGAACTGGCACTCAGTTGACACTCAATATGTTTTTATTTTTTAACTTCTTTATGATTGTAAAAGTAATATATGAAATATTTGTGAAGTATGGAAACCTGGAAAAAATAAAACAGAAGTCATCTATAATCCCACCATCCAAACATACCTACTGTTAATGCCTTAGCTTGCTTGCTTGCTTTCTTTCTTTCTTTCTTTCTTTCTTTCTTTCTTTCTTTCTTTCTTTCCTTTCTTTTTCTTTCTTTCTTTCTTCTTTTTTTTGAGACAGTCTTTTTTTTTTTTTTTTTTTTTTTTTTGAGACAGTCTTGATCTGACATCCAGGCTGGAGTACAGTGGCACAATCTCGGCTCACTGCAACCTCTGCCTCCTGGGTTCAAGCAATTCTCCTGCCTCAACCTCCCAAGTAGCTGGGATTACAGACATCCACCACCACACCAAGCTAATTTTTGTATTTTTAGTAGAGACAGGGTTTCACCATGTTGGCCAGGCTTGTCTCAAACTCCTGACCTCAGGTGATCTGCCCACCTCAGCCTCCCAAAGTGCTGGGATTACAAGTGTGAGCCATAGTACCCAGCTTTTTTTTTTTTTTAAATGAGACAGAGTTTCGCTCTTTTCACCTGGGCTGGAGTGCAGTGGTGTGCTCTTGGCTTACTGCAACCTCCACCTCCCAGGTTCAAACAATTCTCCTGCCTCAGCCTCCCGAGTATCTGGGACTACAGACAGGTGCCACCAAGCCCAGCTAATTTTTTTGTATTTTTAGTGGAGACAGGGGTTTCACCATGTTGGCCAGACTGGTCTCAAACTCCTGACCTGGGGTGATCTGCCCATCTCGGCCTCCCAGAGTGCTGGGATTATAGGTGTGAGCCACTGTACCCAGCTGAGCCTACTTTCTTCTGGTCTTTCTTTAATGCCTCCCCCTACTACACTGGCCCCCTGCCATTGCATACACACACACACACACACACACACACACACACACACACACACACACATATATATATTTATTTTTTTCTAAAGAGATGGAGTCTTGCTCTGTTGCCCAGGCTGGTAGGCTGATCTCACTCCTTCAGGTGATTCTCCTGCCTTGGCCTCCCAAAGTGCTGTTGTTACAGGCATAAGCCATCACACCTGGCCATTTTCCATGCTTTTTTTTTGAGACAGAGTTTCTTTCTTGGCACCCAGGCTGGAGTGCCATGGCACTATCTTGGCTCACCACAACCTCCACCTTCTGGGTTCAAGCAATTCTCCTGCCTCGGCCTCCCAAGTAGCTGGGACTACAGGCATGTGCCATCATAGCCAGCTAATATTTTATGTTTTTAGTAGGCATGGGGTTTCTCCATGTTGGTCAGGCTGGTCTTGAACTCCTGGCCTCAGGTGATCTGCCCTCCTTGGCCTCCCAAAGTGCTGAGATTACAGGTATGAGCCACTGCACCCGACCCTTTTTTATGCTTTTATAACTCAGTTTATCCATTCATTTATTCACTCATTTTTGGTTAATACCCATACATTGGTTTTATTTTATTATTTTATTATGTTATATTTTTAGCTACAGGGTCTCACTCTGTTCCCCAGGCTGGAGTGCAGTGGCATGATCATGACTCTGGAAGCCTGAACTCCTGGGCTCAAGGGATCCTCCCACTTCAGCCTCCCAAGAAGTTAGGACTACAGGCACATGCCACCACACTCTGCTAATTTTTTTTAGAGGCAGTTATTAGGCCATTCTTGCATTACTGTAAAGAAATACCTGAGACTGCGTAATTTATTAGGAAAAGAAGTGTAATTGACTCATGATTTCACAGGCTGTATAGGAAGTGTGGCACTAGGCATCTGCTCAGCTTCTAGGGAGGCCTCAGAGAGTTTTATTCATGGTGGAAAGTGAAGTGGGAGCAGGTATGTCACATGGCAAAGACAGGAGCAAGAGAGAGGGGAAGAGGAGGTGCCATACCCTTAAACAACCAGATTTCTCAAGAACTCACTTACTATGATGGGGACAGCTCCGAGCCATGAGGGATCTGCCCCTTTGACCCAAACACCTCCCACCAGGTTCCACCTCCAACATTGGAGATTACATTTCAACATGAGATTTGGATGGGGATAAATATCCAGACAATATCATTTCACCCCTGGCCCTCCCAAATCTCATGTTCTTCTCACATTGCAGAATACAATCATGCCTTCCCAAGAGTTCCCCAAAGCCTTAACTCATTCTAATGTTAACTCAAAAGCCCAAAATTCAAAGTCTCATCTGAGACAAAGCAAGTCTCTTCCACCCATGAGTCTATAAAAATCAAAAACAAGCTATTTACTTCCAAATTACAATGGGGGTATAGGCATTGGGTAAACATGCCCATTCCAAAAGGGAGAAATTGGCCAAAAGAAAGGGCTACAAGCCTCATGCAAATTCAAAACCCAGCAGGGCAGTTATTAAATTGTAAAGCTACAAAGTAATCTCCATGTTCCATATCCAGGGCCCACTGGTGAAGGGAGTGGGCTCCCAATGCCTTGGGAAGCTCTGCCCGTGTAGTTTGCATAGTATAGCTTCCACAGCTGCTCTTAAGAGCTGGAGTTGAGTGCCTGTGGCTTTTCCAGGCACATGTGCAAGCTGCCAGTGGATCTGCCATTCTCAGGTCTGGAGGGTGGTGACCCCCTTCTCACAGCTCCACCAGGCAGGTCCCCAGTGGAGACTGTGTAGGGTCTCTAACCCCACATTTCCCCTCCAAACTGCCAGTAGATGTTCTCTGTGAGGGTTCTACCCCTGCAGCAGACTTTTGCCTGGCCATCCTGGTTTTCTCATATATCCTCTGAAGTCTAGGTAGAGGCTGTCAAGCCTCCTTCACTCTTATAGTTTGCATGCCTACAGGCTTAACACCACATGGAAGCCACCAAAGCATGCAGTCTGAGCTGTACCTGGGGCCTCTTGAGCCACAGCTGGAGCTGAAACAGCTGGATACAGGGAGCACTGTCCCAAAGAGGCTGTGAAGAGCAGTGGAGCCCTAGGCCTGGGTGACAAAACCATTCTTCCCTCCTAGGTCTCTGGGCTTGTGATGGCAAGGGCTGCCCCTTAGATCTCTGAAATGCTTTCAAGGCCTTTTTCCTATTGTTTTAGCTGTTAGTGCCTGCCTCTCTTTTAGTTATTCAAATTTCTCTAGCAAGTGGTTGTTCCACAGCCTGCTTGAATTCCTCTACGGAAAAAGCTTCTTTCTCTGCCATATGGCCAAGCTGCAAATTTTCTGAACTTTTACACTCTGCTTCCCCTTTAAATATAACTTCTAACTTTAAGTCATTTCTGTCTTCTGACATCTGAGTTAGGCTGTTAGATGCAGCCATGCCACTTCTTGAACACTTTGCTGCTTAGAAATTTCCTCCTCCAGATACTCTAGGTTGTCACTGTGAAGTTCAAACTTTCACAGATCCCTAGAGCATGAACAAAATGCAGCCAAGTTCTTTGCTAGGGCATAATGAGGGTGACCTTTGCTCCATTTCTAAGTTTCTCATTTCCATCTGAGACCTCTTCAGCCATGCCTTCACTTTCCATATCACCATCAGTGTTCTGGTTACAACCATTTGAGCAATCAAGCACTGTTCTAACTTCTGGGAATACAGAAATGCTCCTTATGTAACTTACAGTCTAGTGGAGGAAGAAGGAAAATAAATGCAACAAAGAAGTAAATTAGTCAGGATGTCAGAGAGTGATAATTCCCATGGAGAAAAATGAAGCAGGGATGCATAAAGTTAGTTCAGAGAGAGAGGAGGATACAATTTTAAATAGGGTAGTCAGATAAGGATTGATTAAGAATATGACATTTGGGCCAAGACATGAAGGAAGTAAGAAAGCAAGCTATGTAAATAGCTGGGAAGAGCATTCCTAAAAAGAAGGAACATGTGTCTAATAGAGAAGTATGTTTAGTATGTTCAAAGAATAGCAAGGCCTGGGTGGCCTTAATGAAGAAAGCAATGGAAAGAGTAATAAGAGATGAAGTCAGCGAGCTCAAGCAGGGCATGAAGATTAGAGTAGAGCCCTATAAACTGGGTTACTGTCAAATGAAAGTTAAGGCTGCTGAGGCAGAAATGATTTGATAAAAGTTTATTGGATGCCAAACGTGAGGAAGAACCCAGGAAAACACACCAACAAAGTTGAGTGTTCTGGAGTCTGTTACAAGTTGGAAGGCTTTTACAGGAAAGTTAGAAGAAAGGAGGGGGACTCTTCATATAAGAGTTGTCCTTTTTCATTGGAAGGTACAATACAAAGGTTACAATAATTGGCTACTGATTGCAACATACCGGCTAAAATGTCTACAGGCAAGACAATCAGTAAAACGTTATGACTCAGAGATAAATCGGTGTCCCTAGGTTGTGCATTGATCAGTACATCAATAATTTGAGAAACTCATAAGATTCCTTACTCAGGGACAAGGTGTCACCATGAATCACTAGACCTTCCCAAGGTGGGTTAATATGGAAGACTCGTTACTTTTATTTTTATTTTTTGAGACGGAGATTTGCTCTTGTTGCCTAAGCTGGTATGCAATGGTGTGATCTTGGCTCACTGAAACCTCTGCCTCCCGGGTTCAAGCGATTCTCCTGCCTCAGCCTCCTGAGTAGCTGCTATTACAGGCATGTGCCACCACGCCTGGCTGATTTTTTGTATTTTTAGTAGAAATGAGGTTTTACCATGTTAGCCAGGCTGGTCTCAAACTCCTGATCTCAGGTGATCTGCCCACCTCAGCCTCCCAAAGTGCTGGGATTACAGATGTGAGCCACTATGCCCAGCCACCTGTTTACTTTTAAAGTAAACTGTCAAATGTGACCTGTATGTTGTCACCATGAATAATTTGTCATTCCAATTGGGAAACTTCTGGAATGAAAGGTGGAAGTGAGGGTTATTAATAATTAACACTGGGTCCATGGAGAGAAGCCATGACTGTCCTGGACAAACTGTCATGTGTAATCATTCTACTTATAGACCATTGTAAGGACTTGGGCTTTAAAAAATCTGACTGAGATGGGAAGCAATTGGAAGGTTTTGAGCAGAAAAGTAACATGATATAACTGAGATAGCCCTGAACTACTATGCTGAGAGTAGATTGAAGGGGTGTAGGAGCAGCCTTAATGAGGAAGGATTGGCTGGGGACTAATGGGATACAGTCAAGAAACTGGATTCTACATATGCTGAAATTATGGCAAAAGACTTTATTGACAGACTGGATGTGGAGTATGGGAGGAAGAGCAGCCAGGAAAATGAAGTTGCCATTTACTGAGAGGGGGAAGACTTCAGGAAGAGCAGATATGGGATGAAATTAAGAGCACATGTTAAAATTTAGACATGCTGTATTTGAGACACCTATTGTATGTCCAAATCAAGTGGGCATTTACTATACAAGCCTGGAGTTCAGTTCTCTTTATATATTGGTGATCTTCAATGCAGAGATGATATTTAAACCATGAAACTGGATTTTTTTAAAAGGAAGAAGACCGAAGACTAAGTTCTGGGCACTCCAATTGTAGGCAGTAGTGGAGATGAAGAAAAACCAGAGCACTATATGGTAAAGGAGCAGCCAACAAGGTAAGAGGAAAATCAAGCAAGTGTCATTTTGTTGTTGTTGTTGTTTTTGATATGTAGTCTCACTCTGTCACCCAGGCTGGAGTGCAGTGGCACAGTCTCTGCTCTCTACAACCTCTGTCTTCTGGATTCAAGTGATTTTCCTGCTTCAGCCTCCCAACTAGCTAGGAATTCAGGCGCATGTCACCATGCCTGGCGCAAGTGTCATGTTGTAGAAAGCAGGTCAAGGATGAAAGAGAAATGAGTTTGTCAGATGCCTTGAGAGGTCAGGTAAGATGAGGACTATGAACTGATTGTTGAATTCAGAAACATGCAGGTCACTAGGGACCTTGATAGAGATGCTCTGATGAAAGGTGAGGGCTAAAGCTCAATTGTAGTGGGGCCAAATGAAAATTAGAAGAAAAAAGTCTTCTAATCAACTTCTATAGCAATCTTCTGAAGACTTTGGCTGTTAAGGAACAGGGAGAAATGGAGCAGGAGCTGAAGGCAGAAACTGAGTCAAGAGAGAGCTTTTACAGCCTGTTTGCTTACTGAATGGAAAAGATCCAGTAGATAGGGAAAAGATTTATGATGGGGGAGTCAGGAGAATTGCTGGAGCAACATCTTTGAGTTGGTAAGGGAGTATGGGGTGGGGTGGGTAAGAAGTGTATAAGGCTGGGGCCAAGCATGGTGGCTCACACCTGTAATCCCAGCACTTTGGGAAGCTGAGGCAGGCCAATCACTTGAGCCTAGGAGTTCAGTACTAGCCTGACCAACATGGCAAAATCCTGTCTCTACTAAAAATACAAAAATTAGCTGTGTGTGGTGGTGCATGCCTCTAATCCTAGCTACTTGGGAGGCTGAGGCACAAGAATCGCTTGAACCTGGGAGGCAGAGGTTGCAATGAGCCACGATCATGCCACTGCACTCCAGTGGGGAGGAGAGACCATTCATCTCAAGGAACAGGAGAAAAGACAAAGTGTGTGGGTACAGATGGAGTTAGGTTGGTGGATTATGGTGCTTGTAGAGGTTCTCTCCCTTGCTTCTATTTTCTAAGTGAAATAGGAAGCCATGGCACAGCTGAGGGTGAACACAGGGAAGGAAATGATGGCGTTCTGAAGAGAAAGAAGGTCCTCCAGGATAGAGAATGAACCAGGGCAATTAGGATCCTCTTGAAGTCGTTGATGGTCAGTTTAAAGTGAAACCAGTAGAGAAAGATCCAAGATGGCCGATCGCTAACATCCTGGGATTGCAGCTCTCAGGGAAGGCGTGGAGAACTAGAGGACGCCACACTTTCAGACAAAGTCTGGTCGCTCACGGAGCAGAAGATCCCCCAGTGGTGGAAACACACGAGTCGCCAGCGCGACTCTCGTGGTCGGCACAGCGGTTCCGCCGGCACCTTGGCACGGCAGCGCTTGGCGCAGAGTAAACGGGACCAGGGACCGGTTCCCCTTCTGACCGAGGTTTACGGAAACAAGAAGGAAACCCGACAGGAGAATCCTGGGCAGAAAAGCACCATCAGTTTTAATGCCGCAGCTCTGGCCCTGGGAACTAACAACCTGGACGTCCACTCAAGAGACCTAATCTGAAAGTTGGTAATTTCAAAGACGACAGGAGGATAAATTTACAATGACGGGAAGAAACCAGCGTAAAAAAGCTGAGAATACTCAAAGTCAGAACGCCTCTCCCTCTAAAGATGATCACAGCTCCACATCAACAATGGAACAAGGCTTGATGGAGAACGAGCGCCTCCTGATGACAGAATCACTCTTCAAGGAATGGATAATAACAAACTTCGGTGAGTTAAAAGAACATGTTGTAGCCCAACGTAAAGAAACTAGGAACTTTGAAAAAAGGTTTGATGAAATCCTATTGAGAATAGACAACTTAGAGAGGAGTATGAGTGAATTAATGGAACTGAAGAATACAATACAGGAACTCCGAGAAGTATGCACAGGTTTAAACACTCGAATTGTTCAAGCAGAAGAAGGGATATCAGAGGTCAAAGTCCAACTTAATGAAATAAAATGTGAAGAAAAGATTAGAGAAAAAAGGATAAAAAGGAATGAGCAAAGTCTCCAAGAAATGTGGGACTATGTGAAAAGACCAAATTTACGTTTGATAGGTGTACCTGAATGCGACGGAGAGAATGAATCCAAGCTGGAAAACACCGTTCAGGATATTATTCAGGAAAATTTTCCTAAACTAGCAAAGCAGGTCAACATTCAACCCCAGGTAATACAGAGAACACCACAAAGATATTCCTCAAGAAGAGCAACCCCAAGGCACATAATCGTTAGATTCACCAGAGTTGAAACGAAGGAGAGGATACTAAGGGCAGCCAGAGAGAAAGGTCAGATAACCCACAAAGGCAAGCCTATCAGACTTACAGCAGATCTCTCAGCAGAAACTCTACAGGCCAGAAGAGAGTGGGGGCCAATATTCAACATCCTCAAACAGAACCTTCAGCCCAGAATTTCATATCCAGCCAAACTAAGCTTCACAACTGAAGGAAAAATAAAATCTTTTATGAACAAGCAAGAACTCAAGAGATTTTATTACCACCAGGCCTGCTTTACAAGAGCTTCTGAAAGAAGCATTACACACAGAAAGAAACAACCAGTATTAGCCTTTCTAAAAATACACCAAAAAGTAAAGAGCACCAACATAAAGAAGAATTTACACCAACAAATGGATAAAACAGCCAGTCAACATCAAATGGCAGTAACCCTAAATTTAAATTGACTAAATTCCCAATCAAAAGACACAGCCAAAACCCAATGGCATGTTACATCCAGACCTGTTTCACATGCAAGGATACACAAAGACTCAAAACAAAGGGATGGAGAAAGATTTACCAACCAAATGGAGAGCAAAAATAAATAATAAATAAATAAAAAGCAGGAGTTGCAATTCTTGTATCGGATAAAATAGATTTTAAAGCAACAAAGATATAGTGGTAAAAGGATCAATGCAACAACAAGAGCTAACGATCCTAACACCCAGATAGGAGACTTAGATTCAATGAGACAGAAAATTAATAAGGATATCAAGGACTCGAACTCAGATCCAGAACAAGTAACCTTAATAAATATTTATAGAGCTCTCCACTTCAAATACACAAAATATACATTCTTGTCAATACCACATCATACCTACCCATTAGTTTAAATGAAACATTGATTGGCCATTATTAATACCCAATTTTTTTCAAAATAAAGCAATATTTCCATTTACTCTCCCTCTTTCTCTTCCTCTTTCTTCCTCTCCTTTGCTCATTATTTTTTTTTCTTTCCTTCTCTCAAAAAAAAAGAAATCAACTTGTAAACCTCTAGATCCAGGTCGGCAATGTCTCTTTCATTGCTTGATTTCCTTTCTTCCCTTCCCTCCCTCCCTACTTCCTCCCTTCCTTCCTTCCTTCATCCCTTCCTTCCTGCCTTCCTCCCCCCCCAAAAAAAAATAAATAAAATAAAGTGAAACCAGTCAGTTGGAATATATTTTCCAGCTACATTTGGCTATGCAGGTGCCAAAAAGAAGTAGGAGGGAGGTTAGATTTAACCAGCTTTATAGTTTCCCCAAAAAGCAAGGCAGATAAGAAAGGGACATGAAAGTTGATTATGATGATTAAGCATGGAATTTAAGCTGTCCAAGAAGGACAGTGAGGACATGAGTAAGGTGAGAGATAGAGAAAATGTAGACATCTTTGCCAGGTATGGAGCTAAACACAGCATGCATTCTCTTGCGTAATCCCCACCCAAATGGAACTGTTATCATCCCTCTTTACAGATGGAAAAGCTTAGTTTTAGGGAAGACTATAACTTGCTCAAGGTCACACAGTTGATTGAGAAGTGGCAGACTCAGCATCAGGTACAGGACACTTGTCTTCAAAGGCTGTGTACTTAGCCCTATTTGCTTTAACTGGAGTATTAGTGGGCATTTAAAAAAATTGATGCATATGTAGAAAGGATGGTAATTTTGTCCAATATGTTTTTGTTAATGTTTTTCCATCTTGTGTTAATTTTAAGATATTCTGTTGTACAGAATACTTTAAAAGTTTATAGTAAAATCTATGTATCTTATCTTCAATTTCCTATTCACCTTAAAATTAAATATCACCTATATTTTCTTCTAGCTTTTGATTTATTTACTCTTGGCTGTATTTTATTTACATTTATTACATTTGGGACTTTAGTTGATCAGGAATTAATCTGGTATGTGATTTATGGTGGGATGCTATTTTTCCCCCAGTTTTTCCATTTATTCAGCTTATCAATTGTCCCAGCACCAGTCTTCAACAGTGTATTGATTTCTTGATAACTTATAATTCCCCTTTATCATATGTTTCAATTTTTTTTTTTTTTTTGAGATGGAGTCTTGCTCTGTCGCCAGGCTGGAGTGCAGTGGCACCATCTTGGCTCACTGCAACCTCTGCCTCCCGGGTTCAAGTGATTCTTCTGCCTTAGCCTCCCGAGTAGCTGGGACTACAGGCGTGTGCCAAACTCTTGGCTAATTTTTGTATTTTTAGTAGAGATGGGGTTTCACCATGTTGGCCAGGATGGTCTTGATCTCTTGACCTAGTGATCCACCTGCCTCGGCCTCCCAAAGTGCTGGGATTACAGTCATAAGCCACCATGGTTGGCTTAACATATGTTATAGTTTTATCAACACTTGGGTCTGTTTCTGTGATACCGCTTCTATTTCTTTGATTAATTTGTGTGTGTGTGTGTGTGTGTGTGTGTATGTGTGTTTTCCAGGAAATCCAGAGTAGTCATCCTGCATTTTTATATATGTGAGAGAACATTTCCCCTTATCACAGATTTTTTTTTTAAAAATTTCTTTTTTTTTTTTGAGATGGAGTCTTGCTCTGTTGCCAGGCTGGAGTGCAGTGGTGCAGTCTTGGCTCACTGCAACCTCTGCTTCTTGGGTTTAAGCAATTCCCCTGCCTTAGCGTCCTGCGTAGCTGGGACTACAGGCACACACCACCACACCTGGCTAATTATTTGTAGTTTAGTAGAGACGGGGTT